TCCATCGAGGCAAGGGTATGTCACGTGTTTGACTCCTTTCTCTGAAGGATTCTGAGGTAGTATTTAGACTTGGGCTTTAGTGGAGCTGGTGTGGATGGGTTGTTCCCCCAGAGAAGTGTTTGGTGTCCTCTAGAGACTGCCTTCCTGTCATACCACTCTGGGACAGCCCCTGGGTTTCCTTGTGTAGCCAACTGAGGACATGAGCAGGCTTGGGGGTAGCTGCATCTGGGTGGTGTTATAAAGGCTGCCTTGGCTCCACAGGTATACAGGTACGTCATGACCAGGACCTTGGCTACATGCACCATAAGTTTGCCATTGTTGACAAGAAGGTGCTCATCACTGGCTCCCTCAATTGGACCACACAGGCCATCCAGAATAACCGTGAGAACGTTCTGATTATGGAGGACACAGAGTATGTGCGGCTGTTCCTGGAGGAGTTTGAGCGCATCTGGGAAGAATTTGACCCTACCAAGTACAGCTTTTTCCCCCAAAAGCATCGAGGGCACTGACCCGGCTCTGTCCTGCTCAGTTTCCCAGCTTGTACTTGTGATGTTCCCTCCTGCTTTGAACCAGACTTTCCTGGCTGAGTGGGCTGATGTCTTCCTGTCCTTGTAGCGGTACAACAGAAGCCAGGAAGGAGGCGACAGTGTGGCCAGTGCTGTAGGCTGTCCTATAGCAGTAGTTGTCTAGATAGGCAGCCCCCCCCCCTTCAGTGGCTTCTGGGCATCACTAGATATGTCTGATAGTATTGCCCCTCTGCAGTTGGCATGTCTCCTTGCAGGGTTAGTCACTGGTGAGCACTACTTAATTGTCCATACCCCTCACACTAGAGCAGTACTGTGGACTTAGAAGCGACCTTTGCTTCTAGCACCTGTGTGGACTTGTAGCTTTTGCTGTCATGGATCAGGAGCTGTTGACAAAGGGAGTACTGGAGGTAAGAGCTGCCCAGGCTGTGATCTCAGCTCTGGGGTAGCTAATCTGGGGGTCAGAGGAAAAGTTTCTCATATGCATTTGTGACATACTCCAAATTATTTTTTTACATTTTTGTATGCAAGTAGCTCAAGTGACATAGAGCTAGTTTTGTCATTGGTCATGCTTGTATTCATGACAAGCTCCATGTGGTCCCTTAAAAGTCAGTCTGAATGGATGAGTTGTCCTTTAGCTCATAGAACCATTAGCAGCAGATACTGGTCAATACTGGTGTTTTCTTCCCTTTTTTTTTTTTTTTTAATGGAGGGCAGGGTGAGGAAATGGGGTCTTACCATGTAGCCTTTGCTGGTCTTCAACTCAAAGATCTGCCTGATTCTGCCTCAGGTACTGGGATTAAAGACATGTGCCACCATGCCCAGCTATTTCACCCTTTTTAATGTTAACTTTTATTTAGTGTTAAGACAAGTAAACTTGATGTTGATTTTCCAAAAAGATTTAACAGAAACTGTAAAGTATAATATTCAGAAGTAGTTATGTTGAATAAGTTTCTTCCCTCCTGAAGCTTGTAAATTCTTAAGTGTGTGCTCAGGTGGTGGTGGGGGAGATCACAAAATGTCCTTTGAGAGACAATGCCATTGGGGATCTTGAACTTCTGCCATATTTCAATAAATATTATTTTAGTATATGAACTGTTACTTGTCTGCCTTAGTCTGCTGCATTCAGATATGGCTACTATTAAAATATTGTGGGGACAGTATGTAGCTATTTAGACACCTGTGGTGAAGACAGGAGTCCTTGGAAGAGCAATAGCACTTAAAGTAGTAGCCACCTCCTGGTTAGTGTGTTTTCCAAATAGCCACGCTCCTCTCTGGTACTATTTCCAGACCTTTCAGAAATAGAAGCTTGATTCCTGGCCTGTTTCTCTCTGTTATCTGCCTGATAGTATGTCTTCCTTGACTCCTGCCTCCAACCCTTCCAGAGAAGGCTGATATCTACATGGTAGCATGTGGCTCTAAGGGGTTAAGTAGCTTTGTTGAATTATCTGCAAGAATGTGTGAAGGCTTGTGAAGTGACATTACTTCATATATTTATCTTTTTGTTGTTTGTTTTGAGACAGTCTCACTATATAGACCAGGCTGGCCTTATATTCCTGCCTCTACTTTCTAAGTACTAGGAGTACATGTATGTACTACCACACCCACATTGAATGCTATGAGGTAGGAACATAGTACATGTGGATGTCTCACTTGTCTCAGTACCATTTGAAGATGATTTCCCCTAATGAATAGTATTAAAACCTTTGTTGAAAATCAACTGGCCATTCATCTAATGGTTTATGTCTGGGCTCTGCATTGTCTCGCTATGATAATGCCAGCAGCCGTCTAGATTAATAAGAACAACAGTAGTATGTCTTGAGAACTGGCAACACGAATCCTCTGTTTCCAACATATTCTTAGACTTACATTTCCATGTGAATCTTAAGATGAACACACCGATTTCTGGCAAAAATTAAAGCATCTACGACTTTGGTAGGGATTATATTGAACCTGTAGATTAAGTTTAGGTTACCATTTTGAATTTTATGGATATCTACTATGGCTTTAATTTCTCCTGATTCTTGTAGGTTTTCTGTTGCTCACTCATTGATTTATTGGGTAGCCAAGCATATACAAAAGTAATTACACATCAAAGAGATGAAGCACTTCTAATAGATAGCAGTCAGATTCTTGGAATCACAAGTGAAAGAAAAACACTTTAGAAAAATAAGAGACCCTTCCAGCCTGCAAGGAGGGGGCTGGATGGCTAATCCAGAAAAGGGATTGAGATGAAGATAGAAATCAGTCTGGGTTAACAATGGTACTCAGCATGAACTATATTTATTTCTCCTTTTTCTCTTTTCCCATTTTTGGGCTTAACTTACCTTTAGTGCCCAGGGCTGTTCAATACACAGCTATACTTCTATTTTTGTCTTAGTGTCTTCTACAGAACTAGGTCCTTATGGTATTTTAGTTTTTTTTTTTGGTTTTGTTTTTTCCTGTCTTTTGAAGGACCTGTGATCTTTTAATGTTGGTATTGATCATTTTGAGTCTTTGCCCTCTGGTTTGATCCCCCCCCCTTTTTTTTGACTGGAGTATCTTATATCAGTGTTTGTAGTTTTGAGTATGATTTATTACTCAGGTTACTGTAAATGGAATTGCTTACTTTATTCCAGTCTTCAGAACTACTGTGTAGAAATATAACTGAGCCCTATATCCTAACTTTCTGAATCTAGTAGTGATAGCTGAATGAAAAATGAAATAAAAGGAGGACATGACTACTCCTAAAGTATGGAGAAGACTTTTATTGTAGGTATGAAGGAGAAAGCAGGCAGGGGAGGGTCCAGGCTGAACATGGCTGGCAGACTAAACATGAGGAACCACTGACCAGGACACCAAGACCAGAGTAAGCAAGAAGCTGAGTTATATAAAGGGAGGAGGGGAGTTGGGATGGGGGCAGGGTGAGAAGTGCGGGGGGGAGCCCCAGGGACTGAATGATGGGGGTGGGATGGGGGGGGGCTGGCCAGCATCCTCTTTGATATGTTAATATGCACCTTCCCAGGTTTCTGAGACCTAACACTAACAATACATACTTAATATTTAATCTCATTTAAAAGGAACAGTTTTACACCTTCCCTTTCAGTCAGAGTGCCTTTCTCAATGAACTGCTTGGTCTAGATCCTTTGTATCATTTTGTGAATGGAAGCAGGGAAAATCTCTTCAAGGAGATCCCTATCCTAGGGAAATGCCAGTCTTTAATTACTGAGTGTGATCAGTTTGGTGGGAGGGGGATTCTTTGTTCCTGGTCTTTGATTTTTGTTGTTTCTCTGTGTAGCCCTGGCTGTCTTGGAACTCACTCTATAGACCAGGCTGACCTTGAACTCAAGAGATCCACCTGCCTCTGCCACCTGAGTGCTGGGATTAAAGGTGTGTGCTGCCCCACCCTCCAGCTATTTTAAAATTTTAATCATGAGTGATCATCTTGCCAACTAATTTTAAATTGCACTTACATATCAGGCTATTCCCAAAGCCTTTTGGTGTACATTTGTTTATAATAGTTCTTAGTGGACAAAAAGCTATTGAAAAACCCCTAAACAAATACACTAAATAACATACTAAAAATATTTATTCTTTTATATCTTTGTTTTGCTGTTTTATAATATTAAACTAAAGTTGATTTCTAATTGGTATAGAAGCATTTTTGTATTTCCAGTCAGTTTCACATACTTTTATTATAAAGTTTGTGACAATATTGAAAAAACTTTTGAGGGGTTATGGGGACAGATAGGGTCTTGCTGTGTAGCCCAGGCTGGCCTCAGACTCTGAATCCTTTTCCATCAGCCTATCGAGGGCTGGGATTACCAGGTTGGCTGCCATTTTGTTTGGCCTAGTTTACTATTCTAAATCTACTGAACAAAATGTTAAAAAAATTCAACAAACATCAAGAATATACCATAATTAGAGGACCATGTTTTGTTAAATTTTGTGTTGTCTATTTTAGATTGAGGCTTTAAAAAACACAGGCTTAATTATATCATAGAAAGTAAATTCACAAAGGACAAGCCCGATGTTGTGGTGCACACGGTACTCAGTGAACTGAATGAAGATGAGGCCAGCCTGAGCTATAACTCCAGGGCTCGTGTGGTAGAGGGACTGTTCAGCATGCTTGAGGCCCTGGGCTCCAGTACCACAAAATAGAAACCCAAGAAAGCTACTATGAGACAGTTACATACAGTACTTTGATTAATGACAGAATCCCCACTGGAATTTTTTTACTATTTTAACCCCTGAAGTTTCTATACCAAGTCAAAGTACCTTAGATTCTAGACAAAATATTATGGCTTATGTGTGAAAAATCTAAAGTCTAATGTAAATATCGTGAAAACAGAAAGACTCCGAGAAACTGTGTAAAAGGAAAGCAGCAGGTGACAAATCTTAGATGACAGCCCATTCTGGGCTGCTAGTAAGTTTATGACTTAGGACTTTAGGTTCTCGTCCTCGCCTGGCTGTGTCAGCACCCATATGCATGCAGAGGGCAATGCAAAAATAGTTTATTATGATACAGTTCATGTAAAATCAAGCAGTATTTACACAATAAAAATGGTTAGCTATAGCCAAGGACTCTAGCTTGTCACACAAAGGAATAAATATTTCTACAAATTAACATTTCAATTATAGTGAACACCTGACCACAAACTTTGTAGGAAACGCCTTATACTAAACCATAAAATGTTTGAATGAGGAGTTTAGGGGACACTTTATCTGCAGGAAGGCCACACCCTATGCACATACACTGAGGCCTAAGCTGGTTCTGGAAGCTGTACTCACAGCCTCCCTTGGCTCAGTGAGGCTCCATTTTCTTCTACACTTTCAGTCTGGCAACCAAATTGATTGTATCAGAACAGAAACTAAATACCAGGTGAGATGGCACAAGCCTGTGACTGCTGCAAAGTGGCCCTGCAAGATGTCCTGTTCACAGACATGCACCCCAGCCCAGTCAAGCAGCTGTAATGGAAGGTCACCTAGAGTTCTGATTGTCAAGGAGCCACTGTAACTGGGATGCTTACTATTTCTACATAGCACACCCACAGAAAGCCACACTGGTTAAGTACCACAGAACTGGTTTTGAATCTTGGCATTAAAGCATTAATACCAAAGGTAAATCTTAGTGATTAAAATCTATTTAAATTGAAGTTTGTGATAGAAACTAATAATGAATTTAGTGTTCTTTACAATTTATTCCTAGCTAAAATAAAATCGGCTGTGTGGTATGCCTAACAAAAGGAGAGATGCCAAGAGCATGTTGACTGGCAAGCTAGAGTGGGCTGTGTCAGCCATTACAACTGCACCTCTTTATGGCAAATGCTGGCTATGGAGTCCTGCTCCACCATGGAAGATGCCAGGCTTACTGGTGACCCACAGAAATTGGAGAGGCCTTAAAGTCCTTCAGTTCTGGACTGTCTAGTTTTTAAACTCTGTACTGATGGACTAGTTCCTTACCAGTGTCAACAGAATTATACCCAGGGAGCTAGATAAGAGACTAGTAGTCAGGCTGTACACAATCCAGCCCCACAGTTCCGTCAGAAGCTAGGCACCTGGACCTGAAGCAGCCTATAACCCCAGCCAGTTCCCCTAAGAAGCCTGAAGGCTGGGTACCAGAAGTTCCTCATATTCCTGGTTTTCCTTGAGTGGCTCTACCAGTCTTGGAATGCTCTCAGTAGCAGCCAGGGCTTGCCATGAGTGTGGGTTAAGGGGATAGCCTGCAAAGCAACTGTCAAGTAACCAAAACCTTCAAAACACTGGTTATTAATTTAGTCTTCTGTTGTTTGGGTTGTTTTATTTATAGATGGGGTTTCGCTGTGTAGCTCTAGCTCTTCTGGAACTCACTATGTAGACCAGGCTGGTCTCAAATTTAGCTTGTCTCTGCCTCCCAAGTGCTGGATTAAATGGTGAGTAACCACACCTAGCTAACTCCCCGTCTTCTGATGTTTGAGTGGGGTTTGCACTGAATCCAGCATTGCCCTCCATACTTCCTAAAAGGCTGTCTAGATGTTTTACTAACTCAAACTCTGCACTGAAATCCCTGTATCATGTCTCAAATACCACTACTTGCTCTGAGCTACAGGAAAGGCTGAGTGCCCTGTTGTATGCTGGGAGCTCCTGTGAGAAAGGAGCTGGGAAGGTGATGTTTACAGCCTAGCAGGAAGAGCTAACCCTCTTGCTTTTGGTGCAGGCCAGTCAGCTGAGAGGTTACTGGTGTCCCCTCCATCAGCAGAGTCTGTGGTTTGGGTGTACATTTGGGTATCTGAGTCTATCTGTAGCTGCCCAGCTAACTTTGGTATGCAGCTTGCATTGGATATTCACATGGAGGCAGGAGTGGGGATCCCAAAGTTCTCCCTGATGTCAGGTTTCATGGAGCCTCTGGTTGCTTATCCAGCCTGTTTGGGGAGCCAGAGTATGGTTAGAGGTCAGGAGAAAGACCACTTGGTGTGTAGAACAGGACTGCAGGAATCTCTGCACCAAATGATGCCCAGGTCCACAAAAACAGTGCAGGCCTTGTGGTATCCAGCCACTCCCCCTCAGTACCAGCTAGGTGTCAGCAATGAGGAGTGTGTTCAGTTCTCTGCAGTTCCAGGGTAGAAGACAGTGTGCCATCTCCCTTTGTAGGAAAGTTATCAGCAATACATATCCCATCAAATGTCTTTCACACTAGTTTTGTTTCCTAGTCAACTCTTTCAGGCTCCTTTTCAGCACATGTTCTGAAGTTCACAAGTGCTCTTTGTAGTGCTATAGTTGAACCCTAGGTCTTACACATGCTAGGTGGGTGCTCTACCATTATTAAGCTATATATACAACCTTAGTCCATCTGTATTTTGAGTCAGAGTCTTGTTACATAACCCAGGACTTGGAACACAGGCATATACAACTACACCCAGAGTTCAGTGTTCTGCTGTTGGATCCAGCAGAGGTTCAATTCTGGCTTTAGGTTTCACTCAGTGAATTCATACATTCCCAGCCTTCTTCCTCTGGTGATTCCTTACTTCATGAGGCCCTGGCCTCCTCTGGTCTCCCTGAAACAATGGGCCTCCCATTATGGCCCTGGCTCTGTGGACACCACCATACTAGAAAATTGGCAGCCCTGTGTGACAAATGTGCTCTCTGTTCAGGTGCTGGGCACCACACATGTGCAAGATGTAATTTAAGCATGTGTTTACATCAGCTGTCATATGATATCAGGTAGGTTCCCTGTAATGGCAGTTTGCTTGCAGATGTGCTGGCAGATTTCAAGCGTATATAAGAGAATAAAATTCTGAAGTCTGTTCATTTTAATGCTGCTCCCACTATGAAATGGGGAAAGCATGCCACTGACTGGGCTGGGAACAGCCCAAGGCTTCTTGGTCTACACTATGCCATTCTCAACTGAGCATCTTCCTCTACTGGTACATTTGATGCCTCCTCTGGAATACATCAACTTCAGCTTCTTTCCAGGGAATGGGATGCCTGTAAGGAGGTCAGGCAAAAGTGAGCCCTGCACAGCCTGGGGGAAGGGAACTGACACAGGACAGCAGCAGTCCAAAGTAAAATGCTGCAGTGAGCATGCATGGCCACCAGGGACACAGAAGACCAGCTTCTTTCCTGGCTCACTTCTGCTGGAAGTCACTACCAAAAAACTCAAGATGTACCCACGTGGCTTGGGCAGTGGGAGATGATCCAGGCATCCCTATATTGTGCCAGTTCAGTATCTGGCCACCACACCACACACCCACACGTGAAATCAGCCCTAGGCAGAGAGTGCTGTAATGGCAAAAGTGAGCCTTCAGTAAGAGCTTGATTGGCAGATGCGATAGGTGCAGCTTGTCTCCCAGCCCTTGCTTCTGATTCCCAGGTACTATAAATGTTCTTTTGATCTGTATCCTTGGCATCTTGAGAAGGCGCTGTGGCACATCAGGGAGATGATTTCACTGTGGCCAGAGGGTCCCAAGGGCAGGACAGTTGCAAAGGAAGGTCGTCAGAGAACAGTAGTCCTTAATACAAACTACAGCCTCTGCATCCCAGCCATGCACATGCTACCATGGCCCACTCTGAGCTCAAAACACTGTTTCAGCAACAGCTCCATTTTAACAACTCTGACTTGCCCTATCCTGAAAACAAATGGCAACTGAGCAGCAAGCATGTGCCAATGAGGAACTTAAGCCCAGGCTTGTCTGTGGGACAGCAGCACACTTGCAAATGTCACAAGCAGTTATGGGGGAGGGGGGGAGAGGGGTTCTGCCTGTCTACTTCAAGGCCAGCTAGACACTGTGGATGACCTTGAACATCACTCATGTAGAACTGACTGAGGGGATTCACACATGAGTTGAATTTGCGCACCCAGAGACCATCTGACCGACTCAACACTTACAAAGTGGAAGCTCCAAGCCAGGGACCTGGGACTCAGGATGGTGGGATCTTGTTGTAAAGCCACGGACTCTCCTATTTGACATGGGGCTCTTTTGTGTATGCTGCATGGTTTTTTTTTTTTTTTTTTTTTTTTAGAACAGAAACCTCTAAGTTTTCTTTCTTTAAAAAACAAAAAAACAAAACACTGTAGAATGCTTTGAGTTGTAAGAAAGTCCTATTCAGCAAGCTAGAAAAGCAAACTTATTAGCACAGGCTCTCTGTTAATGGCTCCATGAGAAGCAGACACTTCAAGGGAACCTTCCAGAACTCAGACAAATCAGGGTTCTGAGCACATGCTGCTATTCTTAGCAGCCCTGTCTTCACACACAGGTGTCCTCTCATCCCTTCTCCAAACAACATTGGCAACTTTTCAGACAGGTTAAAAACCCAGCAATTTGTCCCCTCTAGATGACCCAGGGTAGGATCATCACACTTGACAAGCCTGAAGGTGCAGGCTGCAGGTCACTATTGTCAGCCACCAGAGGACCAGAGTTAGAAAGGCAAGGGAGGCACGAGCGGAGGAAGGAATGAGAGGGGCCGGGGCTTTTGTGCAAGATTTAATAAAAAACCAAAATAGGAATGGTTGCTTTCAACATTTTCCAGGTTGTGAAAGATTTGCCAGGATTATCTGGGGTTTGGGTCTAAGCTGCATCAGTGGGCCAAATACAAAATGCTGTCCTCCCTGGTCAAAAGGAAGTGGGGACAGGCTGGACACTATCCAAGGCCCCTCAACAACCAGGGCAGACTAGAACATTCGGTGGCTCTGCTCTAACCAGCAGGGGTGGTGCTCAGCTGGGTGCAGTAGAGCAAAGCCACTGGCAGGTCCCCACATGTATACTCTGAGGCAGGGCTAGCTTATTAACAGGCTGCTGTGCCTTAATACTGACAGTGAGTGTGGTGGGAGGACAAAGGGGGTCCTGCTCAGATGTCAGTGGGGAAGCCCTCCCCACTACTGCTTGAGCGTGGCTAATCTTGAATACCATGGGGGAAAAGCTGTGATAAAGACAATGGAAGTCGAATTCAACAGGGAAGGGAATGGAGCAAATACCCCACACAGCAGTCTCTCATGCATCCATACCCACAGTTAATGACGGCAACAGTGAAAAGCACAGATGCAGATGAAAGCCGCCCTGGGCTTATGCTGCCACCAGCTGGGAAGGATGTGTCAGGTGGATAAGGACGCAGCTAGTCTTTCTTCAAGTCCCTGGACTCGAAGAGCTTCAAGCGCTCTTGCACCGTCAGGCCTTCCTTCAGACTCTGGTGGAGACAGTGGGAAGAAGGAGCAATTAGGTGCTGTTGGAGCAGCTGCAGTTGGGCTTCAGTAGCAGGTACAGGTGCGAGGCTGAGGGACCCTGAGATTAGTGGGCATGCGAGGGCAGAAGGCCCTGAGAAGTAGTGTTACTGGAGTTTGCTTTCTCCTGGAGAAGTTTACTTGGGTGAGAAAAGGAAAAAAAAAAAAAAAAAAAGAGAAACAAGATCATGTGTCTACATAGTTCAACTCTAGCCTTAGGGCTGATTTTTCAGACTAACCAAACCACTAAAAACTTGGGCTGAGAACTGGAAACCTGGCCACCTGTCACTTTTCCTGTATAGGGAGTATGTATATCTCATTCCTTTGTCTTCATGAACTCATGGCTTTAAGACAAGTGTTCTGTTCTGGGGCATCCTAGTGGCACCACAGCTGGGGCCACTAGATACAGCTATCAACACGCTGCCCCCCGCCACTTCCCATGTTCTTGGTATTATAATAAATAATACCAACTGGGGAACAGAATATTTACCACTTCTCCCTTAAACATTTTTCCCAAAGCTTTCATTTCTAGAAGAGAAAACCCCCAGTTCTTAGAGAACTGGCAATGAACATATTTCAGCATGCCCAGGTCTGGCTCAGCCTGGCCATGAATGCAGGTTGTATTAGGAAATGGGAAGCCAGGGGTGTTTCTAGAGATCGAGGCCCAGCTTTCTGCAGGGAATGAAGGAGGATCTGGGCTGTGGTTTTTGCCCCATAATAACTGAGTTGTTTGTTTGAGATAGGTTCTTATATAGCTGAGGTGGCTTCAATGAGTATTGTTTTTTTATACTAACAAATTATGTGTATGTGAACAGTGATACCCATACCTGCTTCAGGGTATCCTTGGTGCCCCCCCACCCCCATTTCAGGTAGCCAGACTCCCAAGAGATGTTACATAGGTCTTTGGCTTACCACCCAGCAACTGGAGCAGGCCCTGGATGGCAACTGAACTTCATGGCTGGTGTGAGCACAGTCACTGACTGCACTTACTACCAGAGAGCAGACAAGACCCATTGTCCCTTATACCTTGGGAAGTACCATCTCTCCGAAGTATCTGACCTCTTCCTGGCCTCAGGTGTATCCAGTTACCTTCAGGGCTCAGCATCCCACACCCACCCATCCCATGACAACACCAAATGAGAATCCTCTGCTCTGGGTCTCAGAAGAGGCCATCCTGCTGCTATGAAAGCTGACTGAGGCAGGAAATGAAAAAGCACCCAAGGGGGGTCCTAGTCAGGACACGACAAAGGTTTCATTCTCTCTTAACAGGGCTGATGAGAGCTTCAAGTGCACTGAGACAGCATGGATATGCTGCCACCATGGCTGGTTGGCTCCTACTTGCCCAGTAGGGATGTGTTATTCTGAGGTCAGATGTAAAGCACAATAAAGGAACTGGGCCACCATGCAAATACTAACAAATCATGTGATAAGCAGTTCCTGGGTCTCCTCTGCCCTCCTGGAAACCCAATGGCCTTTCCTACCTAGCATGGCTCTAATGACTCTAATCAGCACAGAGGAGCCCTAGCATTGTGTGACTCTAGTGATCCTGTAGAGCACAGAAGCCCCCCAATAGCTCACGTGGCTGTCTTTGCCATAGAGATCTAGCCAGGATGGAGGATCCTTGTTCCTCAGCATCACCACCAGCCAGTACTGAGCCCCGTGTCTGTGTTCATATTCCCACAAATTCCTATGTAGGTAGGTGTACACCTCACTGCATATCTTCCACATGGTGTCCTCCTTGGACATCCTTTATCATTTTGACCCAAAGGCCCCACTTACTCACAGTGACCACTATGCTCTCTGAGGGCTCAAGGGCAAGAGCTGAGTTTAACCTCAGGCCTGAGAAAGCAGTCTCCAATATGAAAACAATGAGTCTAGAAACTTCCTCTCTTGCCAAAGGAAAATTTTTTTCAAGTTTTAGGAAAAACCCTAAACTAAGTTTTTAATCTTGCTTAAACCACATCTGCATATAAGTCAACATGGGACTAGAGAAAATAAAAACAGACTGGTTAAAAGAACCAATGACGCCAGGTGGTGGTGGCGGCAGCGGCACACACCTTTAATCCCAGCACTGGGGAGGCAGAGTAAGGTGGACCTCTGTGAGTTTGAGGCCAGCTTGGTCTACAATGAGTTCTGGGATGGCCAGGGCTACATGAAAAAATCCTGTCTTGAGCCCGCCCCCAAGAACCACTGTTAAAAACTCTTGGACTTCTTGATACTCTTCCCTAAGGCAGACCTGTTTCCTCTGAGCCTCAAGCTAATGGCCCAGGCTGGAGGGCTCATGTACAGCAGGAACCAGCACACCTGGGTACTACCAGTGGGAACACAGGCCAGAATCTTTGAGCTGTTATCATTGCATAAAGAAGTCAACACAGCATCCCTAGGACTGATCTCAACATGGCCAACCCTATCACCTTTATGGGAGAGACAGGCTTTTGTATCATGTAAAGACACAAAACAGGTTATGTTCAGCCCCTTATGTAAGGTTGCCAGGCCCTTAAGAACAAAATGCTTTCTCAGATTCTATCCATGCAGTATTGATCAGTTCCACACAGAACAGCACAATGGGATCTGCTCTGTCTTCAGACATCTCCCACAAGCAGCCTTGCTGCTAACTGGATGGATCAGGTCTTCCACAAGAGCAAACTGCTTGCTAGTGTCAGTGGGTATCTGCCATCTCCCTGAAACTTGTTTCCAAGAGAGGAGACATGAACTTGGTGCTGTGCAAATCACCCAGTATGCATGTGTCAAGCTGGGTAGGCCCTGAGCAGGCTCAGTTCTGTGAGGAGGTTAGAGTGCCAACTTCCAGGATAGTTACTGAGATCTCATGTGGACTCTGTGTGTGTGTTGGAGAAGGATGAATGAAGACATTACACAGAGGTGTGCTATGGAGGTGTGAGCAGTGCATGCAGAGCCGCCTGGGCGGGTAGTGGGCAGAGTGAGAAGTGGTTTACCTACACGACAGGGGACTTGGAAGCGGGCGCGACTCAGTTATCCCATGAGACCTGCTCAATTACGGACTGTCAGAGGAAAGAGCAAAAATAAGACACACACACAATCAGTTCTAAATGCAGCATGCTGGCCAGGCCCTCTCCGCCCATCCTCCCAGAGCCATGCCCATCTGAGAGCACACTGGGGATCATTGACTTCATCTCTCCAGGGCTGGCAGTGTCAGTGTGGTAACAGGGATGTGCAGAGAACAAACATACAGTGGAGCTGATGAGAGGTCATATATACCCCACCTTCTGTGAGGCTTAAGTCCAAATCCCTCCATGTCTTGCTTCTTGAAGCCCTGGCCCCTAGATGGTTCTGAGGACATGGAACATGGAACATGGACATGGAACTTGAAGCCACCAGAATCATCCCAACAGTGTGATTACAAAGGTGGGCTAGTGTCTGTACTGGGCTTGACTTCTCCAGCATCCTCAAGCCCCACCTTAACCATAAGCTGGACCTCACTCACCTTGGACCTGATGTTTCTGAGTTGCCGGGTAACACAGGATCTGTCTTTTTTCAGGAAGTCAGGATTGCTTTTAGATTTCATGATGTCTGAAGGAACAAAAAGGCTCATTACTTTTGCTTATACAATCTTCTGAAACCAAACAGAATGTGTGGGAGGTTTCCAGTCTACTACTACAGTGCACCAAGACATCTAAGTCCAAGTAAATAACCAGTCCAAGAGTATGACCTTGGACACCAGCAAGCACCAGAGCACTGGGTTCCCACCAGGGTTTAAGTCACAGCTCCTGAGTCACACAGCACTGCCAACAGAGGATAGGGTCTCTTACTTCTGAGTTGGACCTTGACTGCTGGGCAGACCAATTGGTCTCATTATGTCTAGCTTACTCCTGGCACAGGCCTGGTATCAAATAAAATCAGACCAAATTCTCATGACCCCCTCCCCCCATCAAGAAAACAGTCCTTTCAGTGTCTTAAAACACAGATGACAAAGATGCACACTGGGTCACACCACAGTTTGTCGTGGGTATGGGGCTTTCACGCTTCTGCAGTAAAATTTCATGATTTCTCTTTACATTAACACACAAATATCTCCCTGTCTTCATAAGGACTACACACTTTGTCACAGTGCAGCTTCTAACAACTCCAGTTTTCCCTGTGTGCTGGACTGCTGTCCATGGATGATACTTAGCACACTGTGCACTGTGTGCTGGACTGCTGCTTGTGGTGCCTGTCTGCAGATGCAGTACCCTATGTGCACTTTTCAGAGATTAGTTAGCATGGTAGGTCAAGAGCTTCCTGCCTCTAATGTCTTGGCTTCTTGGTTTCCTACCCTTTTACAGTTAACTAGATTTTATATTGTGCTGTTTGTTGCAAGTTGCCTTCCAGAAAAGATGTTTATATCCCACAAGCAATGCAGAGGACTTGTCTGCAAGCACACATGAGGACTGCCGTGGTTACTGTTCCTGAACTTGCTGGTAAAGGAAAGTTGAACTGTAGGATATTACAGGACTTGAACAGATTTTCAGTTTGTGGGGCTTTTATAAAAGGTCACCGTGAAGCTAAGGTGAAATCATGGATTATCAGAAAGTGTCCAACAGAATGTGGCTCTGCAGCCTCTTTTCCCTCTGTCCTCCACAGTGCCTGGATATTTTCAGCCAGCACAGAAAAGAGGCTGTTCTCGAGAGGATAGTAGGTTCCTCTATCTGTTCTGCTTGCCTGTGGTCCTCAAAGGTTTTATGGTAAAACATTTGGATTGAGGCACTAGTAAGAACCTCCCCTATCTGCTGGGGTTTCTCAGCAGACAGACTCTTAAGACCCCTTGTTACTATGGAAGAAGCTCTGTAAAGCAGTTGCAGGACATGGGAGGAGTGGGTCCTGTGGGTAACCTGTGTATGTGGGGTCCCTCAAGGAGATATGGGATGCCACAGGACATTAGAATTTTTGGGCTTTGAGACAAGTGCCAAAAAATCTTTATGACATTGGGTGGTGGTGGTGGTGCATGCCTTTAATCTTCAGCACCTAGGAGGCAGAGGCAGGTGGATCTCTCTGTGAGTTCCAGGTCAGCCTAACCTACAGAGTGAGTTCCAGGACAGCCAGGACTGTTTCACAGAGAAAACCTGTCTTAAAAAAACCAAAATCTTTACCAATAGCACCCAGACTGCTCACCATATCCTGACACAGTAGTGCCCTCAGGAGATTTCTCTCCCAGGGCCTCTGTGGCTGCTTTCAGCTGCTCTTTCAACCTGCTGATATCACAGTCCGCTTTGGCCTTTGCAATGCTGAGCTCTGTATAGATGTCTTTGTACTTGTCACTAGCGTACTTCTTATCCTAGGAGTAAAAGGACAGAAATGTATAGCAGTTGTAGTTGGGGATCACACTCACTTTGAACTCTAGTCTTGGGGATAATGTGCTGGGGGAAGAAACTGTGGCTTAAAATGACCCTACACCCTCCATCTCCCAAAGCCAAAGACTGAAGAAAACATGCACTGAGCACATGGGGCAGTGGCCAGGGTAAGCTCAGGCAGCCTGCTGTAGTTCTGTCTGTTCAGTCACTTCCTTGTGGTGTCAGCCAGTAGAAGCCTCTGGTTTTTAGATTTTCTAAGTGACCCGATTATACCCAGGATTACATCACTTCTTTTTGAATCCAGAAATCCCTTTGAGACCAGTCCAACTAGACCCACCTAGTAGTTGGATAGTAGACCAAGCCCCACTTCACCCCCATGGCACTCTTCTATGTGTCACTGTTCCTATACAAATGCATAGAAACACAGGAACAACCACCACCTAACTAGGTCAGGGAGGTTTAACTCCTAAGGCATATGCTTATAGGCTGGTGTTTTAGGGGGAACCTGACTTTGGGACCTGCCATGCCAAAATGAGCCCAGTTGGACCTGGTCAGGCCCCCTAGCATTCACCCTGCACTGTCCCGCCTCCAAGCACTGGTCCTTACCCGAAGGGCTGTCTGGAGTTCATCCTTGAGGGAGCTGATCTCCTGCTTCAGGTACTGTATTTCTGACTCTTTGACCCGCAACAAGACCTATAAGGAGAGAGAAAATTAGGACTGGCTATCAGGAACCAGGGATCCTGTAGTCTGTGCATACAGAGGATGGCTGGAGACAGCAGTTTTATACACTGGGGAGGAGGAGGTGAGCCCATCCTTGCTGACACCCAACAGAACACATGATTTAAAAACTGCTCAATGTTTCTACAGAAATGGGAAGGGGAAACAATTCTGCTGGTCTTCCTACTCCTGAGAACCTGGGGCAGCAGGCATGGAACTACCTTGAGTTCCCACTACTGACTTGCTTGTTCTCTGAAGATGGAACTGCAAAGGCCTAGACACACTGTTCCTGTAGGAACTTCTGCCAACCTTACCTAGCTCCTCCTGCTCACCTGTCAGTATGGTACAGTCCGAGCCATCTACAAGGGAAAATATTAACCTAACGGGAACTTTCTGGAAGATACCCTACACCAGTGGTTTTCAACCATCCTAAGGCTGTGATCCTTTAATACAGTTGTTTATGTTGTGGTGACCCCCCCAACCATAGCATTATTTTGTTGCTACTGCATAACTGTAATTTTGTTGTTATGAGTTGTAATATAAATAGCTGATATACAGGGTATCTGCTATGTAACCCCCAAAGGTGTTGAGACCCACTGCAGAAGGAAGTTTCTGTCCCCCCAACCCTCCCCCAGCCCCCCCAGTTCCAAATAAACACACACACACAGAGGCTTATATTAATTATAAACTGTTTGGCCAATAGCTCAGGCTTCTTATTGGCTAGGTCTCTCTTAATTATTAACCCAATTCTATTAATCTGTGTATCTCCACATGGTCTTGGCTTCCTGGTGATGCCAGGACCTCTTGCTTCCTCTGCAGCTATATGGTATCTCCTTGACTCTATGTATTACTTTTCTTTATCCCAGTTTAGATTTCCTACCTGGCTAAATCCTGCCTGTCCATCATCTGAAACAATCAATAAGAGAAACACATATTCAAGCATACAGATGGACACCACAAGTTGAGAACTACTGCCCTACACACATTAGAGCCTTTCCATCCTTCCTTTTCAACTTTTGTCCACCCCCTCCCCCACCTTTTTGGTTTTTTGAGAAAGGGTTTCTCTGTGTAGCTTTGGAGCCTATCCTGGCACTCGCTCTGGAGACCAGGATGGCCTTGAACTCACAGAGATCTGCCTGCCTCTGCCTCCCGAGTGCTGGGATTAAAGGCATGCCTGGCTCTTCACTTTTCTTTCTTTTCTTCCCAGACTGCTCTGGAATCCTTTTGCTTCAGCCTCCCAAGTAGTTGAGATTACAGGTATATGCCACTGCAGAATGAACCATTCTGACTTAAAAATGAATCTTGGGCTGAGAAGTTAATTCATGACATAATCTGAGAGCAGCAGCATTCTTGTAGCCCTGAAATAGGACAAGGTATGAATCCAGTTTGTGGATAGGTAAAGGGAAGGTGGGACTGAATATCCTCATGGCATCTAGAGGGGTCCCTGCTCCTGCCTGTGGACCTTAGACTACCTGTCAGCTGATTTCCTATCTCTGGATGGCTTTGGACCTTCCTACAGCTTTCACACATGCTAGCTTCAAGCTTTCTTTTTTGTGGTTGTTGTTACAGAGCTAGAGATGAACCCAGAGTTTTATACATGCTAAGTCAGAGCGCTACTACTGAATACTGCCCCTCTGGCCCTATCTTCAAATCTGGTCCCTCAATGGCTGTAAGCTAAGGAGCTCTTTGCCTAGCTTCCCATAGTACCTCCAATTCGTAGGCATCCTTGCCCTGTGTGAGTGGCAACCCAGTGGACTCCCCACCACCATCTCCAGTCAGTAGTGTCCTCAACCGTGTGATCTCCGCAGCCAGTCGATTATTCAGCTCCTGGGGGACAACAATACAACAGTGTCTGTCCAAACACTCCATGCTTGGACACCAGAGAAGGTCATTTCTAACCAGTAGTGTGTAGAGGCCTAAGAATGGAGGCCACAAGCCTTGTGCATGTACAGCACTATGCGTAAGGCAGACACTTGAGGCTGTTAGCACATAAAAGCTGTTTATGGGCTTGTGAGGCTATGTGAAGACTTGATGCTCAAGTCCCATTACAAAATGGCACACAACATCTGCATACATCCTCGAATACATACTAGATTATCTCTAGATTACATCTAATACCCAATACCATGTAACTGTTAAGTATTCAGTGGTACTGTATTATTTAGGGAATAGTGGTAAGAAAAGTTAGTATATGCCCAGTGAAAATGTTCTTTTCCTCCTCCTGAAAATTGTCTATCTGTGGTCAGTTGAATCCAACTGTGTAGGTAGAGCTAAGATTCCACAGACCTTAAAACCCTTCTGAGTTGGGTAGTGGTGGCCCACATCTTTAATTTCGGCACTCAGAAGGTAGAGGCAGCGGATCTCTAAGTTTGAGACCAGCCTGGTCTACAGAGTGAGTTCCAGGACAGCTAGGGCTACAAAGAAACCCTGTCTTGAAAAACAAACAAAAAACAAAATGAAACCCCTCAACCTTCTGTGTGGGCAGTGTTATTTTGTCCCACTTGATGTCCCACAGGCTATTCTGCTCTGTCCCTCCATTTTCTTAGGCCCCCTTTCTGGCTGATAAGTGCTTTTCTTTAAGCCACTGTGGTGGTTGAGTGATTCCAAGTAGTTCCACCCACAGTCTGGTATGGTGTGAGGCACCAGAGAGGGCAAGCATGATAGAGCTCAAGGCAGGCAAAAATAGGGTGTGGAAGAAGGGCTTATACTGAACTCTGTATCACAACCCAATCATCTGGACCAGCTGGGATTCAAGTGAGCCCCGATTTCCTGATGAACACTAAATTCTGAGAGCGTGACTTACAGAAATAAACATGAGAGGGTAAGACCAGGCACTAGAAGACAGAATACCGCAACCCTGAGATGGTCTTGAGCTACTCCAATTAGAGGACCAGAGACTTAGAGGAGTGATACAAAGGCAGATATAAAGCCTCTATGAAGGTGAGGTTTAGCTTCTCTGAACCTTACCTGGTTGTGGGCATTGAGTTCCTGGTTCTCACGTTGGCATTGCCGTAGGGCCTGCCGCTCAGCCTCCAGCGCCTGGGCCAGGTGTGCATTCTCCAGGCACTTCTGGGAGTACTGCTCCGAAAGGACCTCCAGCTCCCTCTGCACTGACTGCAGCTCCTCCCTGCAGAGAGGCAATGCTCAGCCCTGCCCCATCCACTATAGGACTGGGCAGCTGGACATAGACACTACAGTGTCTGCTCACAGAACGTCAGGGATACTTTGTAGAAATGACTCTGTCTTTCCTGGGCCATCCACAGCTGGCATACTCTGATGATGGAACCAGGAGGCAGAGCCAGCCACTGTGACCAGAGAACTGCCTGATCACTTCAAAGTATAGACACTCAGCCATCAGCCCTGGTACTGTTCTCAGTGTCCCATGACTAGAAGGGCCAAATCCCCAAGGCAGAGACTCGAGAGAGCTTCCAGATGAGTCTCCAGTCCAGCAAGCATGACCACTAGACTTCCTGAGTTGTTGCTTTAGACCCTGGCACATTCCAGAGGCCCCAGCAAAGTCTAATCAATGGATAGATCTTCTGTTACTAACCAGAGGGTCCCTAGCAGTGTTACTCCTGCCGAGGGAAAATTCACAAGGTGCTGTCCCAGTGTTGCTTGGTGTTGCTTTCTGTGCAGTCAGTATGTATGAGATTTCTAGAACACTAACTGTGGCCACTTTTGCCACAAACAGCTGTGGTATATCAGACACAAAGCAGCAGACCCTGGCTCTTAGTCAGGTGCTGAAATAGTAGCAGTGGCACAAACAAACTGGGGATGGTATCTGTAGCCAACCCTAACAAACAGAAGGTATTTTGTTTTGTTTTAGAACACAGTCTCCAGACATAGCCCAGGCTGGCTTTGAATTTGTGGCAATCTTCCAGCCTTAGTCTCTTAAATGCTGGGATTATAAACGTATGTCACCATGTCTATCTTAAGCTATAGTTTTTTAAATGTCATTTGTTGCATTTGTTTCTCTGCATCTTAGAGATAAGTCCTTTTTTTTTTTTGTTTTGTTTTTTTGAGACAAGATTTCTGTGGCTTTGGAGCCTGTCCTGGAACTAGCTCTTGTAGACCAGGCTGAGATCTCACAGAGATCCGACTGCTTCTGCCTTCCTAGTGCTGGGATTAAAGGTGTGTGCCACCAAGGCCCCTAGAGATCAGTCTTAATTAACCCTTAGGTGTCCCCCTACCCACCAGAGCAAGGTAGTATAGGCTGTCCTTAGAACCATGGTCTCCTCACTTCCCCAAGACCAACCTCAAAGTTATCTGAGGCTTGGGAAAGTGGCCTTCTCCCACAGGGCTGACCTAGGGCTAGGTGACTCACAGGTACTGCCGCCTCAGGGCTTCGATGTCCGAATTGATGCTGCTGATCTGAGACCGCTGGCTCTTCTCTAACTCCCGTTCCATCTCCTCCCGATGAGCATTCTTCATGGCTTCAATGGCTACACAAAAGACACAGCCCCTCAGCACCGTAATCCAGAGCTACAACTGGCAGTGGCTCTTTTTTACTACATTATCCCTCCACAAGCACAGGGGCCTTGATGTCTGCCCCTTGGTGACACCAACTCTAGCAGCAGTAGGACACCACAGAAGGCTGGTCTATCATAGTACAGCTCTCTGGGGTAAACAGAGGCTGAGAATTCACAAACTAATTTCCCCTGGAAGGGCAATAGGTGTGTTACATGTGATATTAGAAAAACCCCACAATGATCAAGTAAATGTCAATGTTATACTCATATATGAGTTTTTGAAACAAGAATGTCTGAGAGCTGGTTTACTTTCTTTCCTGATGCTACAATAAATCACCACATTGTCATTAATCATGTAAAGAGAATGTAACACAAGATGGGCGAGACACACTTGCTGGGGCTGTGTTACAGCATATCCGTGCTCTGGTGACAAAGTACTCCAAGTGATGGATGTTTGTTGGGGGCCAGCCCTGTAGTGTCACAAACATCTGGAGCACTGGCTCTCAGTTTGGAGGCTCTCAAAAAGCTTCTCAAGTTAGTCCTTGCCTCACTTTGATCTTCAAATACCTCTCTCCAAAATGAAGCTTAAGGCTGGTGCTGATTTGGTCCAGCACCTGCTAGACATGCATGAGGTCATGTTCAATCTCCAGCAATACAGACACAAGGTGGGGTGGTACATGTCTGTTACTCCAGCACTGGGGAGGTGGCGGGAGGAGAATGAGCTCAAGGTTATCCTCACTTATATAGGGAGTTAAAGGATGGCCTAGTATAGAGACCCTACCTACCCACACCTACCACCACCTACAAAGAGGAAACTTCAATCTCAGGGAAAAACAAGGTGAGGACAATCCTCTTGTGAACCACAGGTTCAGGGACATGGGACCCCTGTGCTCATTGACTTAGCCCCACCTGAGATGGTGGCAGCTGTCTCCTCAGCCAGGAGGCGGTCCTTTTCCTCTCGCAGCTTCTCCAGTTCCCGCTGGTGTTGCCTCTGTAGGTCTTCAATCTTCTTCTGGTGTGTCTCTTCCATGGCAGCAAAGCCTCGTTCACATGTAGCCTGTGGGACAGAAGACGGCTTATTGGTTTCTCTTTGCCTCCAGTGGCTGTCCTGTGTAACCAATAGGGCAGTGACCTACTTGGTCCAGGAAGTGACATGGTCACAAGATACGGCTGGTGTTTCTAGCATCAGGTACTAAATCTGTGTGTAGCTATCTACCCTTTGTTCTGGAACTGCATGTCATCACAACCAAATGGCATACACACTGCCTACACAGGCTAGAGTAGCAGACACACTGGGTGTTGTTGTCAACAGGAACAAATTCTGACAAACCTGCTAGTTAGAGAGAGTGAGGTCCATCCTGAAACAAAGAGTCCAACTCATCCTCTGTGGGCTGAGGTAGACAGGACCTATTTTTGGGAATCAGGGAGCTTCAGCTGATTACTAAACTTCAAGGGTATCCACATAAGAGCCAGAGAAGATGCCAGCATTTCCTGCCAGCTTACCCCTTCTCATTTCCTCTCTTAAAGGGGAACAGAGGCATGCTACCCACTGAGAACCATACCACCTTACCAAGTAGAACAGACACTATAGGTGAGTCTTAAGGAGTCCCTGTTTCCTACAGCCACAAAGCCCAGCTGCTTTCCCCAGCCAAGTAGTAGTGCATGCCCTGTGCTCCACCTGCGGCTGACAGCTACTCTGTGGTCATGCTGCCTAAACTTGTGATAGCCACTTCTGGGAAGAACAGGTTTTCTGATAAACAAAAGGAAGAGTGTGGCTCTAGCTCTGTGGTCCTACCTCATCACTTTGCTAATGGGTTCAATAAAGGATACCAAGTATCCAATCGACATGCTCTTGACATTTTTTTGCTGATCCTCATAGTCACTGTGGGGCCTTTCCAAGAACCTCTATTCAGCAGCTTTAAATTCCTGCTCACATCCTGGAGTGGACTGCAGAGTGTGTGCTGTACTGGCTACCATCTCCACACAGCCTAAGAGATAATTTAGCACAGATGTGTGCTAGAATTACAAGGGGGCCACACCATACCATGCTTACCCAGCACTTACATGAGTGTTAGGGATCCAAACTCCTGTCTCCATGCTTGCTGGCAAGCACTTTAAACACTGAGCCATTTCCCCAGCTCCAGATTGTAATTTTAAATCATCCCCAGGTCAAAACAAGTTCCTTAGTGACTAAGAAACAGACTCATGGCCAGTGGTGGTGAGGGGCAACAACAGTCTAGGCCTCTCCTGTATCTGAGCAGAGATCCACAGAGAGAAAATGTTCCCAGCTTGGCTCGCTCTTAGACAGTCTGGTCAAGGACACAAATGTCCAGCTGTGCCACAAGCCCCACAGAGGGCTTGTAGTTCTTGGGTTCAACCCTGAAGCTTACTCTCAACCTGTATCTTTTGTTTCAAAGGCGTTTTCCCACCAGGTAACCTGAGCCCAGTTACAACCATTCTGACACCCTGCTGCTGCTGCTGCTGCCAGGCCTGGACCCATCTATCCCAGGCTGTGGAGGTGCCTGTTGATGCAAAGAGGAATAGGCAACGGTGGCTCAGGCTCCCATAGGATCGTTGAATACACATTTTGAACAGTTCTCATGATGCTTAAAAGTTTTTAAAAAAGTCTGGATGAGAGAAACCCTGTCTCGAAAAACCAAAAAAAACAAAAAAAAAAAAAAAAAAAAAAATCTGGATGAAATCAGGAAAAGAATGGTGAGCAACAGTGCCTCAGGTGCAGCTATGTGGTCACCCAGAGGCAAAGGAAAAGCACCAGCCTGAATATACCAGTTTCCCTTCAGTATGGAGGAAAAGGGTGTTGGGAAACAGTCACAGGCACCCTGCTGTGTTACAGCTGATATACTATGGCAGGAACACTGGCCTGCAAAAAGACCTGGTGCAGGAACCCTTGGGGCCTGTACACCTTCCAATGGGGAAGAAGATGAAGACACAGCCACCTCTGGAATCTAAGAGACAGAACCTTCCATGATTATGCCCAGGCAGCCACAAACAGTGTAGTCTAAGATTAAAAAGGGGTGTTCACAGAAGCATGACAAGTAGCCTGGGAGACAAGAGCGGGAAGACTCTTGTCAGACACAATGCCCATCCACTGCCAACTCTTGGGAAGGCAGGCTACGCAAGAATGCTTACTACTTTGCAAATATTCTTGTGTTGTAAAGTCCCAACCCTGCTCTTTGAGAAGAGTCAGGGGGTACTACCCTTCAGAGATGTGAGATAACCCTTGAACTAATGCCTCAACTTTGAAGCCAGAAGGGGTTCTGCGAGGGTAAGAAGGCGAAGGGGGTGCAGAGTGTCCTGGAGGCATGGACAGCCAAGGAAGACCCTATTTTGCTTTCCCACAGGGATGCTGCTTTCCTTGCTAGCTTCCCTTCTAGGTCATGAATAGAGGGGCAGGAAAATGTTACTCAATTATGCCTGTATAGCAGCTGAGAGTTAAGAATTATCTCCTATCCCCACTTTAAGACCTCAACTGCCCACAATGCCCCTTTCATGTATCACCAAAGAAAACTGGCTCTGAAAAATAAATGGTGCTAAAGACCTTGAGGCTCTCAAAGTCCCGCTGGTACTTCTCCCGCAGGGTGGCCACATCACCCTCCAGCTCTTTGTGGCCTAGCTCTTCTCGCATGACATCCATTTGGGCCTCCAGCTCCTGGATGCGTTCTCGCAGCCCTGTCATGGATTCGGCCTCATCCTTGGCTGTTGGCACAGCTCTGGGCTCAGATGGCCTGGGGGCCAGTGGGGAATCTGGGTGTGAGGGTTGGCAGAGGCTGAGGGCTCCCCGCAGGCTCCATATATAGTGTTCCTGCAAGGCCCTCAGCTCCTCCTGATGGACAGCCTGCAGCTCCCGGACCTTCAGCTGGAACCTGTCCTCCAGCATCTTCATTTGCTGTACATGTTGCTGTTCCATGGCTTGCCTGTCTTTGACTGATGCGTCTAGCTGGCTGAGAACCCGGCTACGCTCAGCCTGCAGTGTACTTTCGGTGTGGCTCAGCTGCTCCACCATGCACCTAATCTCCTCCTCATACCTGCCCTGCAGCGCAAACATGCTTTCACTGTGTTTGCTTTCTGCTTCTTGTAGACATCTCTGCTGATGGTCCATCTGGCTCACCTTGGCCTTGAGCTCAGTGTTTTCCTTTTCAATGAGGGTGATCACTTTCTGGTACTCACTCTTCTGCTTGTGGAGAAGTTCTTCATACTCCTCCTTTAGGACCCCAACTGCTTGTGCACGCTTCTGGCAAGAGTCTCCTGTAGCCTCCTGACAGGCCTTCTTGTAAAATCGCAGCTCCTTTTCATATTCCAGCCGAATTCTGCATGCTGCATAGCACACTTGAGCCTGAATAATTGCATCTTGAACCAGTAATGAAGAATACTGACCAAGGCCCTCTAGACAAGCATCATATGAGAGATGCTGGGACATCTGCAGAAGCCTCTGGCAACCCCCAAGTTGCTCTGTGGGAGGCAGAGCTGGTAAGGCAGCTGAAATCTCCTCAAGGATGCTAGCCTTTTCTCTCAGCTGCTGGGCCAGCTCATCCTGAATGGCAGCAAGGACTTCAGGGCTCTGATGGAAAGCCTGCAAGGGCTCTTGGGAGCCCTCTGTGTCTGGCTTCAGCACCTCTCCTAATGGGCTCTGGTCCCAGGATGTCTGTACCTGGTCCTCCCTTCCAGCTGGATTCCTGAGGGTTTCTAAGATCTGCTGAATTACTCTTTCAAAGTCTGGGGTTTGGTAGGCTCCTAAGATTTCTCCCAACATGCATTTGTGCTGCTGTAAGGCTGCCTGGGTCCCCTGTAGGGTCTCCTGTATGCTTTGTAGCCTATGGTGAAACAATTCTCTTAATGATTGTGTGGCATAGCTGAGCTCTGCACGAATCCACGTGGCATCAGCCAGACTCTGGGGAATATGCCGCTGCCTGTCTCCTGATGTGCAGGCTGTTTCTTGTCCCAGTGTCCCTAGGTGCTTACTTAAGGACTCGACCTGGCTCCAGAACTCACCATTCACCAGCACCTTCTTGGCCCAGATCTCCACTGGAGCCCCAGCAGAGAGGGCAGCACTTTCTTCCTTTAATGGCCACTCCCCTGACTGAGTAAGCTCACAGAGAACACCATACACATCTGAAGTGGTATTCTTTAGAGAGTCAGCTATTTGGTTGATGAGTGAGGCCTCCAGGACTATCTGAGCAGAAAGCAGCTTCCTATGTTCCTGCTCATTCAATATGGGCTGGCAGGGCTGCTGTACAGGGGTTGCCAGGCCACTTTCCATGGGGTGCCCCTTCTCTTGCTGAGTCTGTGCACTGCTGTCTATGGGGGATGCCCATGGCTGAAGGGCCTTTATAGCACCCACAAGCATACTCTCTATGTTAGCCAGGGAGGCTGCACATGCATCCTGCCCCTCCTCCTGGTCAGCAAATGGCAGAGACCTCAACTTTCTCCAGCAGTTTTCTAAGCATGCCAGGGCTTGACTATTTTTGACTTGGAAGTCTCCCAGCTCCTCAGGGTGGTGCTCGATGTTTGTGGCCTTCTCCTGTCTCTCCTGCTCTAGCTGAGAGGCCAGTGCACTAGCCTGTAGCAGGCTGGCACGGAGTTGCTCCCGCAGTTGTGCCTCAGTGCCAGCCCACTGCTGGTGCAATGCAAGCAATGCCTCCTGACTCTGGCCCTGCTGGCTCTCCAGCCTCACGGTCACATCTTTGAGCTTCTCCTCTGTGACATAGAGCTTTGTCTCCAGGGAGTGGATTATAGAGATGTATGTTTCAGCATCTGCAGCTGCAGGGAGTGTGCTAGGGGTAGCTTCTGAGGACACACTGTCCTCTGAGGGTGACTGGTCCTGGCTGGTGTCTGATGATGTGCTGCTAGTCCAGGCCTTGGCACACCCCTCAGGGTGTATATATCTCTGGCACTGGATTGTGGAGAACCGGATTCTTGGCCTTTTCAAAGGTGCTCCCTGGTCAGATTTAGAGGAGCTTTGCAGGTTCCCCTCCCTGTCAGGCACATCTGCAGACTTTGGGGCTACCATGTCCTCTCTGCTGGGGCTACCACTGCTACACTCCTCCCCTTGGCCAGCACCAGGGTCTTCATCCTCTGGCTGTGAGTGGGCAAAGCCTGGAAATACTCTGGTGACTGAGCCTAGTGGCAAAATGCCACTGTCCTCCATTTGCTCTGCCGTACTCTGAGGCTCTTTGGCATCTTTTGGAGAATCACTTACAAATCTCCTTAGACACTCTTCCTTTTCCTGCAGCTTAATTTCTGTTTCCTCTAAGCTGCTGCCCAAGGCGATCATTTTAACCAAAGCCTCATTGAGGTCTTGGTCTTTCTTTTCTAGAACTCTCTCATGTGCTTCCTTAATGTGCTTGAGCTCCTCTTCCTTTTCTCTCAGCAGAGTGCGCACACTCTGTAGCTGGATAGAGACCCTGTGGTGTGAGTGCTCTAGATTCTGGTAGTCAGCTTCTTTTCCCCTCAGCTTCTCTTGGAGCTCAGCCACGTCCCCATCAGACGTGGCCACACGTTCCATGAGTTCTTGGAATTGTTGCTTGATGAGATCCCGTTCTTCATGGAGGCTCTGTACATGCTGGGCTAACTGGCGGATGCTCGCCTCCCGGGCCTGCAGCTCTTCCTCTAGCAGGTGCACCTGTTCACTGCCTTTGCATGTCTCACTCAGTTTCTCTTTTTGGAGGGCTTCTACCTGCTGCACATGGCCTTGGAGTTGCTCCTCATAGGCACTGGCCTTGTCCTCTACCTCCTTCAGGTTCTGCAACAGTGCCTGCTTCTCTTGTTCACAGCTCTCTAGCAATAGTGTGTAGTTCCTCTTCAACTTCTTCTCCATCATATTCTGGGCCTGTTCACTGGAACCTAGTTGCTGGCTGAGCTCAGCAATGCATTCCTGCAGCTTCTGCACCTCCTTCTGTCGGTCCCGTTGCAATGCCTGCTGTGTTTCTAGGTCCCTCAGTTCCTGTGTCTTTTCTAGCAGCAAGGCTTCTGTACTTTTGAGTTTCTGCTCACTGGCCCTCAGCTGGCCACTCAGCATGGCCTTGCTGTGCTGCCATTCCTCCAGTTGCTCACGAACTTTGCCCTGCTCCAGCTTCAGCTCACCCTTGAGCTTGGCTAGAGCCTGCTCCTTAAGGGCCAGCTCTGTAGCTGCATTACCAAGTCTTGCTTGCAGGGTCTGAATCTCAGCCTCATGATGCCGGATTGCATCCTTGGCCTCCCCATAGCTATGTTTCAGGGTCTGAATTTGCTGCGTGATGAGCTCTTGCCGTCGGCACTGAGCTTCCAGCTCACTTTGGAGGTCTTGGTTGACTCTATGGAGCCTCTGCCAGGCACCCGATGGGGAGGTGGCCACTTCAGTCTTAAAAAAACCGAGTAAATACTGGTTAGTAACACTCAGGCCACCCTGTTCTGAGTGTCACACCTCTGGCCAGGATCAATCATAGAAAAGCTCCTTGGTGGGTTTGGCTTTAATCCTTTGCACAACTTTTTTTTTCTTCATTTAAAGAAAAAAAAATCAAATTAATGTGGGTTTTATTTTGTTTTTTTTTTTTGTTTTTTTTGGTAAATATAGCTGCTTCCACATAAATAGAACACATGGGAAAAAACATCACAAAACAGCTCTAATTGAACAGCATCTAGAAGAAATAAACCAAATAAAGCTGAATAATGGAACACACTGAGAAGTATAACGGAGACTGAAGGACAAAGGGACACCGCATTTGTTTTGCAAAACAAAGTATGCAGTTCTAGACCACATGTTTAAAGCAGCACAGGGCATAAGGCACAAGAAAGTGATGTCACTTCCTTCCAAGATAGGAAGAGAAGGAAGGCAGGTAACTACTTGAGAGATGTCAGCAAGATAAAGAAAGCGTAGTCAGGCCTCCACCGTAAGGAGAAAACTAATTTCTACCTGCAAGAAGACAGAACAAGGGGAATGCAGATCATGAAGCAAAATGTGGTAACAAAACAAACCTTTGTAAAGCTCAAAATAAGAATGAAACATGCAAAACCCAAAATAAAACACAAAACTCCCCAAACTGAGAGACACACAGAAGAGACAGAACTAATATAAAGCAGGGGAAACAACATGGGTAAGTTGAGAGCCCCACCTAGAATCTGGCCTGCCCAGGCTCCCTCAGTCTACTGGTGGGGAAGCCACAGATGTGACACTCAGGTAAAGTTCCAGTTCCACACCATGTTCACCATCCAAAGCATGCAGGTCCCTCCCAACAGTTAGCACAGCACCCTACCCGAGCTTGCATCTCTTAACCCTCAGTGCCCCAAAAGGCCTCTTGCCCCTTCTCACTTTTGACTGTAAGCATTTCCAAAGCTTAGGGGTAATCATTATTAGATTCAGTGGGAAACTGGCCTAGTTGCTGACCAAAGGGCCTTCAGTGTAGATGCACATGATAGTCCATGTTACACACACAAGTTAGCAATGTGCAAAGCTCCTTGGCAGTGTCTTTACCACCATGTCTGAAGTCAAGTCTTGTATGATGGACCCAACAAAGGCTTAGGAAAAGGCCTGAATGAATAACCTAAAGGATTTCTCAGTAGGCTGTGTAGAAGGGAGATGCCTGCCACGGCCAGTTCCAGGCAATAAGGTCAGGAGTTAGGGTGGCTGGAAGTAGGACAGCAGTGAGTCTGTTGGAAGGGAAGAGGGTACCATAATGAGGGGCAGGGGACAGGGTTAAGTGAAGGACACATACAGCAGTGTGAGGGATAGGCACAAAGGTAAGGTAGGATCTGGTTGAGGTGAGTGAAGGACTCCAGGTCTACGTGCAACTTGGTGACGAAGATTGAGGAGGTCAGTGCACAAGGGTCTGGGCATGTCAATAGCCTACTTGGCTGAGACTGGGTCTTTGAGAGCTGAAGGCCCTTGGAGAACACTAGTTCTAAGTGACTTGGGCAGGAGGCTGCTGCTGTAGGGGATGGAGTATTCTTCTGGGATCAGTGGCAGAGTCAAGACTAGAACATAGAACCCTAAGACCAAGCTAAAACCAAGGTCTTATCCATGCCCTTTTCTGGGAGCTTGAATTCAATGCTACCATTCCATCCCACTATCCCTAGAACTTATTTGTTGATTCTCCCATCAATACCCAGGGTGAGAGACTCCTTCATGTCTTAGAGCTAGCATTAAACATAGGCAGCCATATACAGGACAACACATGCCACCTGTCTTCATACCAGCTACCTTGAGACCATTTTTCTTTGACATACCCACATCAAGGGTACTCTAGGGATCTGACTGCAGCAGGATTCTGGAAGCCACCTTGAAGAGAAGGACTGGCTTTGGGCTGTCAGGTCAGCACCTAGTTGCCACCACATTTACCTCATTCCTGGTTGGATTAGGTTGGCTAGGTGGTCATATGTCCTCTTGGATCTTAGGCTGTTTAAAAAGGAATGGTTAGGTGGGTGGTGGTGCAGGTCTAGCTCTGCCACTAATTTGTGTTGGTCCTAAGAAGATACTTGGCTTGCTGTCTTGCCCAGTTTTTTCAAAATATGTGCAATGGGCCCAATCTCACTATGGTGAACACAATAAGAAGTAACATACAGATAAATGGTTTTCACAAAAGCATAATGTCTAGAAAGCCCAAAGGAGAGATCACCAAAATGATTTCTTGACCAAAAGATAATCCTTAGCTGTAGAGAATTGGGGCACATTCCCCCAAATGAATGTCGTAGTAGCAAGAAAAATGTACAGAATATCACAGCATTAAGAGCCCTTGGTCCTTGTTGACCAGAGCTCTGCCATGTTTGCACATTCCTAGCCTGTGGGCCTGAGCAGACCTTTCACACTGAAGCCCCTGGGTGCACTGCTGACTGGGCAGCTGCCCACCCTACCTGTAGCACATAGCCCTCCCGGGCACTCTGCTCTCGGCCCAGGGCCACCCTTAACTGGTCCTGCAAAAGTCGGTTCTGCTCTAGAAGATCCGAGGCCTCTTTCTGGCTCTGCTCCAGCTGTTGGTGAAAATAAACAAATACACACACTTACAAACATGATGACAATAAGCAAAAGCAGCTGACCACAAGAGGCCAAAACAATGGGGCTTGTTCACTGGCCTCAGACATCTCACTGGATACACAACATATAGAACTGAAGGGTCCAGCTCAAGCTGTACACAACATCAACACAACTGCTCCCTCTGCTGGCCAAGGGACACATTTTCTGTTCTTGCCCCAGGTAAGCCCTGCCTAGCCCCAATAAACTTCCATATTGACTCACAGTTGTACTATGCAGGCTGAAATACAGGTGGAAAGTTCCTATCTGGGGAGGTGGCTGTGTTCCACTGAGAATATGTTGGACTCCCTGGCACAGTCATGTAGATCTCACTTCAGGTCCTGCTGTATTTCTACTGACTACTTCATCTGACCAGGAATACAGAATAGATTCCACACAAAGTTCCAGGATATTCTTAAACAAGACATAGAAACCTGTAAACGCTCTACTCTACATTCTTATTTTCACCACCTACCTTGCCCCAACCTTCTGAGAGCCTCAATGAAGCTCTGCTATATGGGAGCTGCCCTGGTCTGCTGGGCCATGAGAGGCAGGGGATATTAAACCCTGAGCCCCAGACTGCTACTCAGTTAAGAACTCAGCATGTGGTCTGCAGGCCGGAAGGCTTATTTTGGTAGCCTAGAATTATGTGAGTTTGAATTATGTTATTTCATTTTACCTATTATTTTATTAATGGATATAGAAAATGAAAAAGTTAAAGTGTTGGTGCTAGTGATTTATCAGGTTCATACATTTAACAAAACAGAAAAAAACACAACATAAAAGAGCCAAAGAGAGGCATGCTGAAGTGGTAGATCATCAAGTGGCTATTATGGAAAGAGTGTAAGAGTATGCCTGATGCATGCTGAGGAAGACGCCCCTAAGAGGGCAAAAATCACACACAACCCTAGGTAGGCTGAACACACATCTCAAACACCTCATGTGAGTATTCTGGATTTTAGGGTTTATTGTTGTTTTGCCTTTGAAATGATTCTGGAGTAACTGTATATACACAATGAGCAATTTGGGGGACGGGGCCCAATCTAAATATGAATTCAAGCATGTTACTTTATACACATGACCTCAGTTATACATGTGATTTGGACATTTTGCTTTGTTTGGCAATGCTGGGACTGAACTTTGTGGATTATTCAAATGCCGTAACATGGGGCCATATCCCTAGTCTTCTATAGTATAGTATTTACTAATTTTATACAGAGACAAATTTCATGGTAGGGGACTTTCTGCTTGTTTCACGCTGTCACTAAATTGTGACTTTTGGATTAAGGATACTCATCCTGTACATCTTCGATAATGCAACTCAAAAATGTACATGCAGATATAATTTGGACACATTCTCTGAGAATCATATGCTATGAACACAGGCACTAGCTTACATGGCTCTTTACCAAGATGCTAGAATGCACCTATCTAATACCTGCCTCACTCCATCTTACCACAGCCCTGGGTCACAACCCTACTCTCCTATAGTACTGTATTGAGTAATTCTGTGCATGTAAGAAGGGAACTGCCCCACATTACCTCTTTCTCTAGCAGAGAGGTGAGCTCATGTGTAGATAGCCGCTCACTTCTGTCCTCCAAGGATAGGTGCAGAGGGGCAATAGGCACCTGTTTCTCCTCCCTGAGAGGGGTAGTTTCCACTTGGTGCCATCGCTGCTCAATTTCCACATGGACATTCTGCGTTTTGAGGTCAGGGGGTCCCAGCAGCCCTGGGCTCCGATCTATGTCCATACGTAGGGGTGTATCCTCTACACCTGGCCCATCAACTGTGTCCAGCATCCCAAAGCGCTTTCGGCGCTCTTCTCGCCGTCGAGCTCTTTCACGCTCCAGCTCACCTGGCTCGGCTTCAGGACGCCCAGGTTCACCAGCTTCAGAGGACCCCACAGTGTTGGCCCTTTCTTGAGCCAGGGCCTGTTGGATGGGGCGGAATTCGGCCCAGTCAAATGTCTTGGAGCGGCCCTCCCGCCTCCGCTCTCGAGCACGGCTCTTCTTCTGCTCAGGGTCTGGCTCTCCTGGCTCAGTTTCTTGCTTCTCATTCGGCCTTGGGCAGGTCTCAAAAGAGGATGTGCTTTTATTCTTTTCCTCAGGCAATGAGCTATGGGGCAGTGAGGAGACACGGGACCTGTCAGGGAGCCTGGACATTTCAGCAGGTCCTAGAGCCAGCCCACACCTGTTCTCATCCCCAAAGTGGCTTCTAAGTGTAGGGGGAAGAATGTTCTACCTGTGCTTGGTTCTCCTTTGGAGAACTCAAACCTAGTTGATGGGGAGGGGAAAGGAAAGAGCTTCAGCTGTTCTTGAGACCTCAGTTCTCATCCTTTAAAAAGGAGTGTCATGGTGGTCATATCATGGATGATGGAGATAAAGCCAATGGACTCCTATAAGTCCCACAGGAGAGAAGGGTCCAGATACTTGGTGAGGTTGGTTATGAAGTACAACTACATTATGCAGTAACAGAACTAGCTCTCTTCAGAAGGGCTCAGGGATTTCTATAAACAGGAGACACCATTAGCTCTATTTAGAAATCTCACTCCAGCTCCAGGCATGACAGTTCAGTCAGAGCAAGGCAGAGATTATCTGTGGGTCAAGGGGACAAGTGACTCAGGTAGCCATAGCCCAGCCCACCACAGAGGAGGTAGCACAGTACCCACTACTTTGAGGAAGGAGGTGACTAGGGGCACAGCCATGCAGGTCAAGCCTGCTCATGCCTCAACCTACCCAGTGATAACAGGGAAGAAGCTGGTTAGCTTGAAGGCTATCTGCCTTTTTTCCCAATCTTCCCCAAGGAAGGTATCTAGGAAGGCCTCTACTCCAGCAGGAGAGGGGGTCAAGCCACCACCACTGGCAACATGGCAAGAGGCTGAGTGGGCTCACTGACAGTACAAATCCCAGTGATTGTCTTAACAGAACTGAAGTGAGCTGGTGATAGGAGGGCCCAAGGGGAAAAGCCAGGGAGCGCTTGCATTTATACTAGGACCAATAAGGAGATTGCCAAAGGAACATCAAATAAAAGAGAGACTGATTCTCATTACCTTTGGGTCACTTGTCCTGGAAGCAAACAGTAAGAATCAAAGTGCTTGGGGCAGTGAGACTACTCAGTGGGTAAGGGCACTTGCTACAAAGCCCAGCCCAGGTTCTCCCTGGAACCCACATGGTGGAAAGACAGAACCAACTCCTATGAGTTATTTTCTGACCTCCACATGTGAGCAACAGCAAATATGTGTACACAAAAAATAAATGTTGAAAGCAAACAAGCAAAGTTGTTCTCTGACCTCTACACATGTGCTGTGACAACCCCCCCTCCAAATATAAATATTTAAACAAAAATCAAATGCTTTAGAGCAGTAGGATCAGCAAGGATCCAGTTTAAGATCAAACACGCAAATAAAAATGAGCTGGAAGGGGCTGAATCTATGGTACAATGGTTAAGAGCACATGCTGCTCTTGCAGAGGACCTGGCCTGGTTTCCAGCACCCACATGGTGGCTCACAACCATCTATTAAAAGTGAGTTGCAGCATGGTACATGCCTGTAACCCCAGTACTTGGGAGGCTGAGGCAGGATGATGGAGTGGGAGGCCAACCTTATAAGATAAGATCTTCACTCAGGAAAAAACAAAACAACCCAGGGCTGAGCTTTTAGAATCATGAGAAAATTGGTGAAGTCTCAGGTCTATATGGGGAGTTGAAATTGACACTTGGGAACAGGAACCCCCCTCCCCCAAGCCAGAAGTCTTGTAATACTGTGAGATGTCCTCACTACAGACAACATGGGACAAAAACTAGAAGAGAAGCAGGGCAAGGCTTGCAGTTCTGATACTGCTGTCTTTACTTCTAATACCATCTGGTAGTCTTGTAGTTATAAATGTTTCTTCAACATGAGCCAAACAGAAAAACATAGGCTAAAAGCAAATGGGTGTGCATGGGTTTGAAGACACAGTAAACTGCAATGTAGATGCTAACTAGGAAGACAATAGTATGAAAGAGAGAGAAGCTCCAGGTCTCTATGTTTATACCCTGGGCCTCAGTCCTTTCATGGAGCACAGTATAAACAAGCATGTATGAGCATTCTTGGCATCTTCCCTGGACACCCCAACATTGATTTCCTCCTGGCATGACCCACTCCATGACTCTCCATCTACACACGGCCTGGACAGGGCAGTTCAAGTGCCCTTTTCACGCTGCTTTGGGGCCTTGTACTACAGGCTCTTCTCTTGACTGGAGGAGCCATTGGAGTGTGGAGTGTGGGGGGGCACTGCTCATTTGCCAACAGTTCTATTTTTTTTTTTTTTTTGAGACAGGTGTTCTGTATGGCTGTCCTTTGCAGAGCAGAGAATTCACAGAGATCTACCTGCCTCTGTTTTCCTGAGTGCTGGGATTAAAGGAATGTGCCACCACTGTCTGGCAAAAATATTTTAAATTCAATTTTATTTTATACACATGGGTATTTTGCCTGCATGTGTGTCTGTGCACCGTGTGCATGCAGTGTCTGTAGAGGTCAGAAAAGGGAGTTGGATATCCTGGTACCACGTGGGTGTTGGGAACTGAACTGGAGTCCTCTGAAAGAGCAACCAGTGCTCTTAGCTATGGAGCCATATCTCCAGCCCCCAGCACATTTCTGGAGAGATCGCAGAGGACTATTTTTTGGATAAAGGTAGGTCCTTCATGTCCTACTAGTCCTGTAATGCATAAATCAGTATATACTGCTGATGGGTGAAGAAATGAACATATAACAGATGCCAGAAAGGGGACTGAAGAAAAGTTTCCTTTCCTTCTCATTAAAAAAGAAATAGAACCAGCCAGAATGATGCAAAAGTTTGAGACAAGAATGGGTATAGCTAATATGCTGCCACAGGCCACTAAGTTTTGACCACCCAAACCTCTGATACCAAAACTACACTTGGCAGCAACATGAACCAAGAGGGGCACAAGATACACAAGATGAAACCTGGACGTGGCAGAGAAAACTTGGCATACATAGAGCATCTCTGCTGTTCTGAAGATGAACACTAGTAGATCTGGAATCTTCAGAGCAAGAAGGGGAAGCATGTAGCATGTTCTGAGGAATATACACTACAGCATGCAAACACAGGAGAGAACACAGTTTTCAAATGTGGGCTTTAGGACCTACAGTCTCAGACAGAAGCTTCTCCTGATTATACAAAACCCAGACAGATATAGGAGTGAGATGGAAGGACTCTTGAGTAAGTACAAAACTGCAGTGCAAAACTATAGTGGCAGCTCAGGCTGCTTCCACCCAGCCAGGCCACGACTGCCAGAGAAGGCCCATAGTAGAGCCCAAGCTCATCCTGAGAGCTGCACTCTGTTGACAAAGACGTCCATGCTGAGGATAGGCATGAGGGTGACCCATGTAGCTGACCAGGCCAGCTTAATAGTAGAAAGGCCAGCAGAGGCAGAAAACAAAGACTCACAGGGGATGAATACAGCCAGCTGACAGTGGGCCAGAAGGAGAAAAGGAATTCATGTTGTGGTGTTGCTGGGCTCAGGCCTCAGGGAATCTTACCTGGTCACATCTGGGGCAGATGCTGGGAGCACATGCTTCATAATAGTCTGGATCCAGTTCCGACGTATGCCAGATGTCATGGCCGACAGGGTGAACTCACCCTCCTTGGTCTACACAAAAAATACTAATCATCAGTGGTCAGGCCACAGGGAAAAGGACTAGGCTAGGTGACTTTCCTAGGAGTATTGTATATGACCTGCTTGAAACAGGCAGACTAATAGGGCCACACTCTAGGGGGGGTGGTGAACTGGGTATCACCCAAACAAGGCAGTGCATAATCACTAGCTCCTATTATGCAGTAACAGCAGCCTGCACACAGATAGATAATCACATGTGTCCCTCTCCTCAAGAAGTTCTGCTAGATCTAGGGACAAGGACACAGAACTGGCTGGGAGCAGGGAAAGTGGTGACCAGGCCTAGCATCCTGCAGCCTCAACATAGGTGCAGAGTGTGACAAAGGGACTGCCCGGGGTCTCTACTTGCTCTGAAAGGGCAGCAAGATGTGCCACATCACTCCTGTCACCATCTAGGTGATGAGAATTAAGACAATGGCAGAGGAAAGGGAATGGAGAGACAGGATATCACTGGCTGGAGAGTTCAGAAGGAATCTGTTCACAGTGGGGACACTGCAAGCAGATGGTAAAAGGGAATCTAAAACTGTTAGGAGCACACAAGCAAATCAGCTAGTAGGAAACAAAACCAAGACAGCTTGGGGGCAGGTACTGGTATGGTAGGGGTGGTAATACTATAGACAACATGTGGGCCACTGAGCTGTTACCCAACCTCTCCCTCCATGGTGGGCTGTCATACAACTGGCTCACTCCCCTTCATTGAATACAACCGTGGGGTACACAGCAGCATGGGGCTCCATTCACATTCTTTGCTAATCCATTCAACCATTGATACAGGTGCTTGCAAAGTCTGGCCTCAGCTTTGCTGGTGAGCTTTCTTAGTGTCAGGGCTACTTGCCTGACCCATGCTCTGAAAAGACGTATCATTGCCTAAAACCCTCTAATGGCCAGGAGTGCAGAGGATCCATCTCCACTGTGAAGTCTCTGAGCAGTGTACATGGAACCCTCCAACACACCATGGGTTGCAGGAGCTCTCAGGTCCTAACTCACTCAAAGTTTTCCCTGGTGTCTTCAGCCCCTCCTTCCTTCCTTGCCCCACCACATAACTACTACTTCTTGGTCTCCCTTCTAATTGCCCCCTTCCCTCATGCAAGTTCTGCCATATATATCTTACTAAGGCACATTCCTGGTATCCACAACAGTCAGTGCTTTCCATACCTTGAGACACTATTTACTCTGGCATACATTTGCTATTCTCAGGTTCTACCCATCACCTACCTTCTGCATTAGCACCCTCGTCTGAACCCTCAGGGAAACCAGGCCCACCACTGGCCTCAGCTAATGTGGGGAGAGAGCAGAGTTCTCAGACTGTGCAAGCATTGCCTTGAGACAGGGAAAGAACCAGGACTCTCATTGGAAAAAAGGTTCATCTCAGCATTCATACTCCAGGAGTGTTCTACCTCCTTCAAGTGGAACAGGAACAGAACACTGCAGTTGGACAAGGAGCCAGGCCATGGGAACAGCTATGGCTCCTCTCTCAGACACCCAGTACATGCAGTATAGCCATGACCTGTTGCCTAGGAATTGGTGCTAGGCTCCTCCTAAGATCAAATCCACTGGTCTTCAGAGGTGTGGATTGGTCCCAAGTTTGGTGGGTCTGAGAAAGCTATTAATTGTGTCTGAACAACTGAATACAGCAATAAGTTGAGTTCTAGGCCCCCAAACCATAAAGATCTTTTCCCCATTGAGCCCACCAGAATTCCATCCTTAAGCTAGAAGTAAAATCCTAGAGCCTATTCTACCTGCCATCACTTCAAAGGTTTTGTCGAGGGGCTTACAAAGGTTTGCCTGAAAGGAGGGGCTGGCTTTGTCTTGCTCCTGAGACACGTCTAGAAATCTGGATGACTGTGGTCTGCCTAGGACCCCCACTTGGTAGGGATAGTCACAAGATGATATAAGTAAGTGGCAGACTCCTGCATCAGAAAGAGCAAACACTAACTATGAATCTGAGCTTAGAGATGGATACCAAATAAAAGGAGAGTAACCCAATTGACTGTAACAAGTATGAAGCCTCATAGCAGAAGGCAAATGTCCCAGAAATTCCTTAGCCTGATTCCAGGCAGCCCTTAATCATTTATTCACCATACTCTTCATCCTTCCAGTGGTCCTACATTCCAACATTAAAAAAGAAAAAAAGCAATTTCTGTAGCAAAGCCTTTCAAAAGCCTTGGGGAGAAAGACGAAGAAACCTATCTTTTTGTCCACACCATATATCAGGAATACAGGTTCAGTAGCCACAGGATAGAGGCATCATGCTAACAGGAAAGACTGAATGCTCACCACACATGTTAAGATATAACCCAGCTGGCCAAGTCCATCCATCCCCAGACTCACATGTATCTTAACAGGTAGACAAGTCAATTTCTCCATCTAGGTCAGCTGCCTGAAGAGAAAAATGAGAGGGTGTGAAGATTCAGGAAGAGAGGATATCCAAGTGATCACATTTCTGAGTGATCTTCCATTGAATGTCTTCACAGGATTAGGCCTTGGCCATTTGTCCTACAACTGCCAGATCCAAGTTCCCTCTCTTGGTGTATCTATATCACCATTTCCCTGCGTATCTAGCCAAAGAAATTCCACAACTGTTCCTTAAACATCTGTCATTCTTTTACATGTTTAAAAAGTAAAAAGACCCTCTGTACTGGCTGGATTTCTGTCAACTTGACAGAAAGAGAATCTTAATTGAGGGATTTCCTCATCAGATTGCCTATAGGCAAGTTTGTGGGGTATTTTCTTGATTGGTGTGGAAGGGCCTAGTCCACCATGGGCATTCTGACCCCTGCAGGTGGTCCTGGTGGCATAAGAAAAACAAGTTGAGTAAGTCAGAGAGCAAGCCAATAAGCAGTATTCTTCCGGTCTCTGCTTCAGTTCCTACCTCCAGTTCTTGACCCAACTTCCCTTTGTGATAGACTAGACTATAAGATGAAACAAACCCGCTCCTCCCTAGATTGCTGTAGCTCATGGTGTTTTATCATAGCAAAAAGTAAACTAAAACACACTCTAAGAATTTAGTGTATGTGGAGTTCATCTATTGATATTTTCTGTATAAAAGTTGGAGATTTTAAATATTAGTTATTCACTTAAAGAAAACTTTAATAAAAGCTGGGTGTAGTGGTCTACATCTACAATTCGAGCACTTGGGAGGCTGGGGAGGAGTGCTGTGAGTTTACAGCTTTTCATGTTAAAATTAAAATATGATTAAAATCAAAGTATGATTAACAATCATTGGTTAGAGTGACAGTGTTTACATTTCTGCAGGCCTCTTATGTGCCTGACTTTGGAGAGGATGCTGGACTCTTCTATATCTGCATTCAGTGTTCTATGTACTATTTCATGTAACATGCATGGAGACAAAGGGGCCTAACACAGAGATGGAAAAGGAAGAATTTTTAAGGAACTAGCTGGTCTTGATGAATAGCCATGTCTCAAAGTTTAACTGCAATTGCGGAATCTGCAGTCCTATCAGTGGCTATTCTGTGCTGTTAACATTGAAATCCAGTTCTACCCTTTGAACAATTCTTTTGCCAGGAATGTTCTTAACATTAAATATTGGTAACAGAAAATATTAAGCTATGCATAGCTTTCAAATGTCTACACAATTCTGTAGAAGCAAAAATACTAAACCACTACTTATTTCATCAGCAGAGCTTATAGATAAAGAGAACCTATTGAGATTATGAACATGAACCTTCCAAAATTCTTACTTTCTTGTCTTGATACCAGGTCTCTGTACACTACCTAGGCTGGTCTCAAATTCTTGGGTCATGTGATCTCCCTGCATTAGTGTCTTGAGTGGCATAGACTACAGACAGATATGCAGCATTATGCCCAGACTAGCTTTTTCTTTGAAAAGATTTTTTTTTTAAAAGGTGTGAATATTTTATCTGAAGGTCTGTTTATCTGAATACCATGGTAGAGTAGTACTTGCCAGTAGATGGCGTTGGATCACTTGGAACTGTAAGTTCAGGCAGTTGTGACCCTTCATGTGGTCCACTGCAAGAACAGCAAGTTCTCTTAACTGGGACCCACCTCTCCGGCCCAACTGTTTTTTCCTTGAAAGCTCAAACCCTATTCACCTTTGACAACAAACTGTCCTTGAAAGAATAGATTCCTGGTTTATTTTCATAAACATGCCTGCCAAACCCTCAAATCTGAGTAAGCAGGGCGCTGTTTCTTCAAGTGACATTCTACAAATAAGTGGCTAGTGTTGGTAGTAAATCAGTAATTGTACACATGTGCTTCCGTAAGGCTTTGGCATGCAGCTCAGCGAACAATAAAGAACAATAAAGCAAGAGGCTGCTCCAGTAAAGGTGCTTCCCAAACAAGTTCCACCCTAGAACACATTTAAAGGTAATAGGAGAGAGATAACTTCAGTTATCCTTTGTGTCCACAAGAGAGCTTTGTGTCCACAAATTATGTGTGTGTGTGTGTGTGTGCACATGCACGTACACACACACACACTAATAAAAGTTAAAAAAGATTACTAAAGAGATGAGCATTTAAAGGTTGCAACTTAAAAATAACAAGCACACACCTTTAAGCCAGTACTCGGGAGGCAGAGGCATCCGGATCTCTGTGAATTCCAGGCCAGCCTGGTCCACAAAGGACAGCCAGGACTACTCAGAGAGAAACCCAGTCTCAAAAAGCCAAAAATAAAATAATAATAAAAATAAAAACCAAATATACATATGTAAGTAAATAAAATGAAGGACCTATTTTGCTGCTTTTAAACATCATTGACTGTAAAGCAGAACAAGTGCACTGACTGTTGGTACAGTCTGACTTTGGCCTAATTCTGCTTTGGTCTCATCAGTGTTATATCAACACAGTTCTACCAGTAGCACAGTTTTGACTCTCACAACACATTTCACTAACTACTACTACTGTAGAGGCTGGTGAGATACTTCAGCAGGTAAAGGTGCGTGTGACCAAAACTGATAACCCGAGTTCAAGTCCTGGAATCTGCTTGACAGGAGGAGAAAACTAACTCCTACAAGTTGTCCTATGGCATCCACTATTGTCACACAGCGCAATGTTTTCTCCTATTGTCTAACACACACACACAAAATGATTTTTTAAATGTAGTTCCTCTACCACAACAAGGCAGAACAAGATCTAAGTTAATCTGTCCAGTGACTCAGTTCACCACACAATCATCCTTTTGCCAAAAACCAAAGACAAAACAAAACTAGACTTGATTGTACCCCGAGTACGAACTTCATTGTTTTTATGAATATTTTGCTTGCATGTATGCCTGTGTATCATGTGTGCCTGAAGCCCAAGAAGATCACAAGAGGACATCAAATGCCTGGAATTGGACTTACAGTTGGTAGTGAGCCACTACGTGGGTGCTGGAAACCAAACCCAGGTCCTCTACAAAAACAAATTCTCCTAACAGCTGAGCCATCGCTCCAGCCCCCACTTCATTGTTCTTAAAAGAATATAGAAAAGAATTGCCAAAAGCCACTGTACCAAAAAAACCTAATTCAAGGCCTCAGAGGATGACCACAGTGTCTGAGGTGGGAAACAGTTCTACCAACAAAGCTGGATCAATTGCATGCACTATCCCATTAGACTGAGATTATGACACCCAAGGCAATAGGCCACCTTTTCACAAACAGATTTCAGCCCTGGAGTTTTAGATGCCACCTTTGCCTTGTAGTTTTCTCACCTCCTCAGCCATGGAATCCCTGTAGTATCTCAGGCTCTGATCAGCCAGGACAAACCAGTGTTTCTTCCACTAGAGGAGAGAAAAATAAACATCCAACTATTCTGCAACATACCTGATGCCCCTCCGTAACCCCAGATGAGTTTAGGCACTCTGGAGAGCACAGGTAAAGCAGGCAACAAACAGATGACTGTTCTGGCAGGCAGCCATGCACTCATGACCTCAGGGAGGCCCTGGTTAAGATGCACTCCATCAATGAGGCAGTGGAGAATCGTGGGCCTTGGCCAGCTCTGTGCCCCAGAGTGTAGTTGGTGACGGGTGCTTTGCAGACCTCCATCCTAACTTCAGAGGCTGCAGACAGTTCTGCTGGGTCTATCACACAGAAAGGTGGCTGTGAAAAGGGGGCTGAGAGGCACAACCACTTGGCTGATACACCAGATGTGTGAGCCCCACTGTGCCAGCAGGTACAAACTAACCTGCTAAAGTCCCAATCTTCACTCTGAGGAAGGGAACTTGAATCTTCAGGCAAGGCCAAGGGCATTTGATATGGTGGAAGAAGGAAAAAGAGGTGATGCTTTGGTACAGTCTCCAAAGGCAAAAAGGGACTAAGATAGAAGAATGGGGTTTTTATGGGCCTCTAAGGCAAGGACCTGGTAATAGTCACAATTCTCAGAGCCTAATGGTGCCCCTAAAACTGAGCTGGTATCTGCAACACAAGGCTTTTGCAGCCCTCTGATTTGTATGGACACACAAGCCAGCCCAGTCATACGCTGGCTGTTCTTGCCTCTGGGAAAACCTAGAGTCTTAAAGAGAACTTTTAGGAGTGATCGTATCCAGGATCTAGGACTGTAGGATGTCTGCAGGCCAAGGGTTGGACCCTGCTAGGAACAAGACAAGCTGGGACTTGCATCTGTTCCCCAGTCCTGTAGGCCTTAGCACTTACACACTCACCTGGCCATCCTCATACTGCTTGGTTAGCCAGCCTTTCTTGAAATTCAGTAGGTCAGGCTAAGGAAGAAAAAAGAACAGCTCAAGGGAAACCATTGTGGGATCCCCACTGATGGACAAAATATGTCCAACCGCGTTGTTTTCATCTAGATGAAGTAGCACCAGAACAGTTTTTACCACCTACCAGATAAGCCTGCCCACTCTTGCCCCAGCATTGCTGCCCAGAGACATAGGTCCCTGAGGAGGGTGTTGAGGGGCAAGGAGAGAGAGCAGCACAGCTTCATTTAACCTGGGCACAGGAACACAGGCTGCCTAGTTGCTCTGAGGTCTCTATTCCAGCTTATCCAGGGCTTGTGTGCATCCTGCCTTGGGGCACAGCACAGGCCCTGATGGATAGTTGAATGTACAGGGAGACACCTGCAGTAACAGCTGAATGGGGAATCCAAAAGCTCCTGCTGAGGCTGCAGAAGGACTGAAGGCCAGAAACCTGAGAGGCAGACCATGTCTGGCGTGGAGAAAGCAGTAGTAGCAACCTTGTCCAACTTTCAAGTTACTCTTCTACCAGGAGGAAGTTCAGGCTTATTCCCTATACAGGAAGGTAGGTCAGGGACCACCAGCAGAACCGAGTGGGTGCTAGCTCTACTTAGGAGCAGCCTGCATTCTGCTGGGGACTGGTTCCCATCTGCTACTAGTACACCTGGAAGGCCAGGCTTCGAAGACCCCAGCCACCCCTTCTGTGGTGCCCAGCACTCTTAGGTCTTCCACAGCTGTCCTGATCAGAAACTGGCTTTGATGTCTCTTACTACTCCAAGGACAGGGAGTGATCCAGAGAAATGACAACAATCAGGATAGGCATCCTGGGAGTTACTGCTCCATTGAGGAGAGGTCACAGTAGACTCCTGCCTTGCCTCAAAAGACCATGGTAGACGAGGCATCCCTCTGTGGAGCCTTGCTGTAACCCATGCTTCATAAGACTTCTTTCTACAAGAATTGTTTGAAGTATCAACAGAAATGGAGACATTTTAGGATGCCCCAGCATAGAGACCTGAACAAATTTTTTTTGGTGTGCACAGTTGTTGCTGCTTCATGAGACTTGGGATGCAGGCCTGCTCACTGGCTTTCTGGCTCCCCTGCTGAGCTGCGGATCTATGAAAGATTCTTAAACTTTCTGCTGTGGTTGTCACTGCTGTTGTGCCTGCCTCAGGGAATGGTGAAGGTTGGTCCCTGTGGGTCTTTTTCTCTCTGGGCCTCTGGTGACTGCCAGGAATAGTGGCTACCAGCTGAGTTGATGGAGAAACTGCTCTGTCTAGGGGATGAGAGCTGGTGAGTGTGCCATGTCTCCCAGGAGGCTGTAGTTGAGGAAGCAGGCGGAACTTTGTCTGCAGCTTCATTCCTGTATATACCCTCAAATGGGATAAATTGTCAGTACAATGTGGCTCCTGTTCCAAAGTGCCACAAAAACAAACACCAAAAGCAGGACAGCAGAGGTCAAGTTGGGGCTTTACACCTGCATTGGCCCAGCAGCCTCCCGTGTACAGAGACCTCCATGTGCTACTCAGGGTGCCACACGGCCCCAAGTCCTGCTGGGCCCAGGAAGGGAAGAATGGTCAGTTTCCAATGAGTTGCAGACCAGTGGGTGGGGCACTCACAGGCATGAGGGTGGTACAGAGGGAGGACCGATGTGGACATATAAACATAAATGGACAGTGGCCCAGAGTGGCCAGAAGCAGCAGTGGGAGTGGCATGGACAGTGGCCCAGAGTGGCCAGAAGCAGCAGAGGGAGTGGCACAGATCTCCAGATAACTTGGCACGTGGCCTGGGCTCACCGTCATGGAGGGTTCTGTGGACCTCCTGTCCAATGACTTGGCTCTTCGGTGTGGAGACAGGGGACAAGCATCTGAGAGAGGAGCTGTGGGGGCTTCACTGGCAAAGTCCTGTGGCAGAGAGCAGCCACCCATCAGTATAGCCCAGGGCAGTTTGGGCAGGCATAGGGGCAACAAGTTGGGTAGTTCATCCCTCCTTGAGTGGGGGTTAGTGTTCTGTCTAGGCCCCAGAGCAGAGCAGATTCTGGGATGACCCATGTCCTGGCATGTTTCAATCAGTGGAGCAGCCTTTTCTGGTCACCAATGTCCTGGCCCTACCCAATTTTGCAGCTTCTCAGGTTACAGAAGAAGACAGCAGGCATTTCGTGATCAACAAAGGAACTGGAAAGAAGGACTTGGATACAGCAGGCCACAGAAGAGGCAGGTGGGCAAGAGGCTGGAGGAGTCTGGGAGGAGGAGGAGTCTGCTGAAGACTGAATGAGGGTAAAGCTTGCCACTCCAAAAACAAAGAAGGAAACGGTATCATATTCGGCTTTGTTCCTGGGTGGCTTCAGTGGGAAGAAACTGTGCTCGTTACAACTGGGATCTAAAACCGACTGAAGCATCCTGTGGCACAGGAAGCTGATGCTGCAGGAGGGAGAGATGTGGAAGACAGGCTGGTGCTCAAGAGGCTAACTGGAGGAGAACGAAGAGTAAAGGCCCAGAAGAAATGTGTCCCTGGTATGTATGGGACTCAGAGCGTATAGGACAGTATGTTCCCCAGACCCAAGCCATGCTGCCAAAGGCCCCACTTAGCCCCACACTGGAGCTCACCCGCTTTCTAGGGATGGCCCGTTTCTCACTGCGGCCCTGACGAGTGTCACTTGATGGAGTGGTCATAATCAGCATGTTGGTTTCCATGTGCTCTGCCTTTTCAATGTCCAAGGCCTCAAATTTCTCAATTACCTGGGACCTCCTAAAAAAGAGGACATGAAGCTGCTAAACCAGAGTCTCCCTGCTCCCAAGGTGGGCTGGGTCTCAAGTCCAGTAGGGGGTTCTGTAGTCAACTTGTACACCTGGCCTACCTCACTGGGCTCCAGTGCTAGCTTTCCTGCTGGCATGTGAGGCACCCTTCACAAAGTACTGACAGGACTTTGGGCACTGATTCAGTCTACTTGAGCTCTGTTTGTCCCCCCTTCATGGTGGGCTGGAACAGCAACAGAACCCTTCCACACTGGGGCCTACACTGTGGCCCTGCCCCAACACTGGATTCATACAGCTTGGTACCTTGGTAATCTCCCTGGGTCAGACACAATAAAAATCAACCACCACCTCGGAACACATTGCACCCCACACGGAGTGTTCATAATTTAGCAAGATAAAGACCCGTGAATTAACAGTTTCTGCTAACATTAAAAGGAATCAAAATCAAAACAAAACAAAGCAGTTGATTTCATGTGAAAGGCCAGCGGCCTCGTCAGGTGGTCTGCGGCTGAGACGACGGAGCTGAGATGGAAGCGAAAGCAGGTGGAGGAGGCGCGAACGCCACAGTGACACAGCAGAGGGTGGAGAGGGCAAGACCTGAAAGAAAACAAGGCTGGGAAATGAATGAACAGAAAAAGACTGCTTTTAAAATTCAAATCATGATAAATCAAAGTTATCTAAAGAATTAAAGCAGCAAAATCCCAAGATAATGGCTGAAGAGAGAAAACCCATGATCATCCCATAGTCTGAGGAGTCACCTTGGTGGGATTAGGCTACCTGGGGTCTGGGAGTTTAGTTAAACCTACTGGGAGGACAATCCCTTCTCATAGAACCTGAGGCATGCCCTCCTAGGAACACCTTACTCCCTTCACAGTGAGGGTAGGCATGGCATGTTCTGAACAAGTGGCAGGAGCTAAGGCGATGTGATAAAGGATAAAGGGTCCTCCCAGGAGACTAAAACCTCCAAGAGGAAGAATATGGCCTAGGATCCAGGAACCTCTCTTTTCAGGAGTTACTAAAATCTACCTTGAGAGGCCTTTTCCTCAAGGGAGTTAAGAGGCCAAGGGCAGGCAGCCAGGAGGGCATCTGGGTACTCTGCCTCCATGTGCAACATTGTTAGAAGACTGGTTCGGGTTAGCCTGCTGTGCTCATAGAGGTCAAGGTGAGGAGACTGACTGGGAGAGCAGTAAGCCAAGCAGCAGCTGAAGTGCAACCAAGGGATCTTGCACAGCCAGACTACTGCAGTAAGATCTGGCTACCCATAGCCCTTGGGGCGACTGCTTCTTCTTGGGCTGAGAGCACTGTATCTGGCTAGAGGACTTCAGGCCCCAGATTAGTAGGAGGGCTGTGCCAGGCCAGGCTGGCATTGCATGATTTGGGTTTGTAGGGTTCCAAGTAGAGTAGTCAGCATGAAAAATAGGAGGCACCTGCTACAGCTGCTTGGCATGGGCACCAAGAGATACTGTGAGACCAGGGGCTTGCACAACTTCTGTATAACTAACAGATTCTCTGTTGCCAAGTTGGTGGTTTTGATGCAACAGATGTGACAGAAAGCGCCTCACTCAGGTGGAACTGACAGGTGTAGATCTCACACGGGAAGGTGGAGGGGCCAGGGTTCCATGGGAGGTGGGGCTTATTTTCTGTTAGTCACTAACAGTGTTGTACGGACCACAGCTTCCCTACACTTAGCATATATGGGCCTAAGAACTGATTGTCTAAGAACTCCTTCAAAGGCTCTGAAGTCTGAAAAGCAAATTCTAAGCTCAGAGCCGTTGCTCCTCTCAGATAGGGCTGCTAACTGGCCTTCCAAGATTTTCCAGAACTGACCTTGTGGTTTCAACTGCCTGGCTTTATGGCAGGTCTGTCTTGGCTACCACTCACTGCAAAGTAGCTAATATCTTGTCACTCTTATCACAGACAAGAATCCAGTCCAGCACTAGATGGACTACTTGGTCCTCAAAGAGCAACACCAACCAGCAAGATCATTCAGAAAGAGGTAAGTTTCAAGGTTAATGTGCAGAAGTAGTCTGGGTACCAACACCAGCTGAAGCCCATCCCCACATTGGCAAAGAACATGCAGGAAACAAAGCCCTGAGACTGTATCTATCTCTGGCAGATAGACAAGAATGCATTCAAGATTAACTTCTCTGATAAGTGGCCTAGCCAAGCAGGTGTGCAGAATGTTAACTCTGGCCTGGCACTTAAGGTATAGTTATGGAACCACCAGAACATAGCCCACCCACTAGCCAGTGTAAACCCTCCCCTACCTACCCTGAAAGCCTCCTTAATTGTTAGCAAGATGTTATCCCAATGCTTAAAAGGACATTATGAGCTCTGGTCCTGGGTCCTATCATGTGATAAGACTTCCTGCTAAAGGTCTACTATTTGCTATTATTTATCATGAAGGGTGGGAGGTCACCTAATTTTTGAGCCTCAAGTTTTCAGATCCATGAATCAGGAATAACAGGTACCTTATTGAGCCACCATTGGGCTCAATTATATGTAATGCCAGGGAGCCAGGTAGCACTTAGTGTCCGCTGTCTACCTGAGGGTCCATAGGCCATTTGAACAAGCTGGGTTGTGTGTCAACTAACTGAGTTGAGAAAGGGGACAAGAGAAAGAAAGTCCTCCCCAGTCTCATCATGCTCCTAACACCTGACTGAATTTCAGCCTACACTCAGGGCAGGGAAGACACTCAAGGTATTTTTGGAGTTGCCTTTCTGAACAGAGAACTTTGTAACCCTAATGAAAGCTGGGTTTTTTTCCACAGCAAAATAGGGAGATGTGCCTCTTACTTCTCCTGGGGGCAGAGGTGGATCTTTAGAAATCTGGCTGGCGTTAAGCAAGAAACCTGGCATGGACACAAAACCCAACTCACAGATGTGGCAGAGAATTTGGAAGGAGGGGGAACACAAGTAGAATGTCCCCTAGTCCTTAAGCTCCAAGCTTAGGACAACAGGGCAAGAGAAAAACAGACCTTATCTTTTTCAGCATAAGTGCTATATCTCTGCCACTGGTGGGAAGCCATGTCAGCAAAGCCCAGAGGGCAAGTGGTACTTGGGACACCTGGAAGCTTTTCAGACTGCCTTTTGCATCCTTGCAGGAGGAGTCTGTGCTTCCCTCTCTGTTTCCTGTGTCCTCTAACAACTGTAGAACTGCCAGCATAAGGAGGGCCTGGTCCCTAACTGAAGCTCTGGGAGTCTTCTCAGAGAACCGAAGTAGGCCAAGTAGAGTAAGATTCTGCCACACAGGGATTAATCTGGGAAGCACCAACCTAGAGCCACTAAATCCTGCATTTGGTGCCAAGAACTGAGAACTGGTGCCACAGTCTGGGACCCAGACACTGAACAGAAATCATGTTCCTGAGTACACCTCTGTGAGTGTTATGTATGAGTATGTAAATTTAGCCCTCTAGCACCCTTCTTACCTCCGCTCGTTGCCAAACAGACGGGCCACCTCTTCCCTGCCAGGGCTCCGGGCCCGAGTCCTATTCTCCAACCGCCTTCTCTCCACCTGGAAGGCTTCTCGATGGCTGATCCGGATGGCCTTAGGGACGTCGGCCAGGGCGGCATACTGCCTGCTGGCTTTAAAGGCAAAGGTGCTCCCCAGTATCTCTGTTCCCCACCCCCCAGCACTGCTGGAGTCCATGTGGTTGGGTGGCCTGCTGGCTTTACCCAGGCTGTTGGGGCAGATGCTGTAGACCATGCGG